AAGTCTACAAACTTCTACATAACTAAGAAACTGTGCTCATGATGGGACTCCCACTGAACCTCTGGAGTGTGGATTACCTTAATCCACACATTTGGTGCACTAATCTGCTATGAGCATTTGTCCATTATTTATGAATAGCTCAAGAAGAATGGAACACATAGGCTTTTAGCTTGTAACCATCATTAGGGGGATTTACTATGCAAACGGAGGGGGCAGGTAGTGCAGAAGACCATTTCTTTTAGACAATGAGAGCTTTGCCTATCTGCAGAGTACCTTTTGAGATATTTAGGCCTATTAATGCGTGAGATCAATTAAGTGCTTGAAAGGATGGCTTGAAAAAGTTTGGCGCTGACCCTGCAGCCAGGCGCAGGGCATGCAGAGTGACCCCTCTCGCTGCATAATCCGCTGCAGGACCAAGATATTTATCTCTCCTGTTATCTGAAACCCAAGTTGTATTTGCACAGGCATGTTAAGTTGAGAGTCAAAGGCTGGTCAAGCATTATATAGGGTCAAAGGAGGAAGTGTAAAAAGACTGGAATCCCAGCCAAGCAATAGGCTATTTGAAGATCCTGCACTTGCTTCAAAAGCACATAACGCTGAGAGAGAGAACACAGTCTGTCCCCTTAAAATGCCTTCCATTGAGCGCTTGCTTCTCTCGCCTGTCTTCACCAATCTTTGCATTTGTACCTTGCAAAACTGACAAATTAGACATTATTTTGTTGGGCTACCGAGCCACAGAAATACTGCCTAAAAGTGCACTCTGTTACAATATCTCTTAAAGAAACTAAATTATTGAAGAGGAGCCTAATGTAAGAAGAGTTAGCAATAGGCGTTACAAGTATATAGGTGTTTGATAATATTGACAAGCATGGGTGGTTCAAGCCCCACAGAATTACAGAGCTCTGTGCAAAATTACAACAATTAAACAATTACATTCTGCCAATTTATCTGAACATTACAGCATCAGAAAAATTTTAAATGTGAGGAGGCCAATCAACCCATCAAGCAGATTGCTAGTATTGAAGTGGTCCAACATGCATCCACCCTTTTCTAAAAGGAACCCTGTGTGTCACCTTTGACATTTATATATGGGGAAACATGTAATATATACACAGTCACAACCCAACACACCTTTGGAAGGATGTAGGCACCTATCTCTACAGTATATGCTGTCTTTAGCAGATACTGATAGAAAGCCTTGCTCCTTTGCATGAATGTCCACATTAAAGCAGTTTTAACCTTGAGAATTCATTGGACTTTCCCAACCGAGTATCATGGATTTTTGAATAAGGAGTTACAGAAGGCATGTATAATAGAGAGGAAGAGCACTCTCCTAAGAAAGAGCTAAAGTCTGCTCTTTACAAAACTTCAGCCATGCGTTAAGAGGTAGTCACCCTACTTAATATTTCTGATTTTAAAAGTACACTTGCATATTTCAGTACTAAATCAATCTCTCACCCAACCAATCTGTTTCATTTCCAACTGAAAAAAAATGTCATAAAAATAGGCATACAAATGTGTTGCAGGGACACATCTGGGGAAGGGAGGGGGGCTGGTGTGTGGGAGAAATACCAACACAGATAAGTGAGAAAGAGACAGGAAGACTGACAGAAAGGAAGGAATAAAGAAAACAATCAAATGTATGTTACACAAAAAGATCAATTTTTTCCCCTCTATCCAAATACACCAGAACAGAACACAACAGAAACCAGATGGCTCGTTATTTTCCACAATCCTTCAATGCCCCCCTCATGCCCCCACAGTGTATTCTGGCTGTGCCACCCCTGGATGCCCTGGAGGTGTCAGCCTGAGGGCTGTAGTTCAGAAGTGCTCCATGGCCGAGGTCTGGCAGGGCTGTGTTTCCACTCTGTGCCGGTATCAAGCTGCAAGGCTGTCAGATGTTTACGAGAAAATGGGCACAGCAACTCAATTACCCTTTGTGTTTGCTGAAAGGCAAAATGCTTGGAGATGATTTTGGTGACAAGAAGTTTCATTCCATTCCTAAGACGGCATTTTAGCGAGCAGCAGGGGCTCGTGTGGAGATGAAAGCAACGACTCCTATCTCTGACATTAACACCATTCAGGCTGAACGAGCAGATAGCTCAGAGAAAAGAAGCTGTCCCTTTGCTTTGGAAAACCAATGCGAATTCAAAGCTAAAAAAAACAGACTTATTTGTACAGTAAAATATTTACTAAAATGGCTTCTTTACTACAAACAAAATACAAACTACTTATTTCTAGGTGATTAGGTGCTGATTTTAAAACATGCACTGTGCCACACAGATGTACATACAAAAATAAGAAAGTCTGGCTTGTAGAAGCCCCCTGCATGATGCATGTAGAAAATTATTCGAAATCCACAGAATACTACTGAAATACTAGTGTTATTAATAGGGATGCCACCCTATTAATAGGCAGGATCAAACTCAGCAAAATGGGACACTTCACCCACACCAACATTTCCACTCTTGTGCCCCAGTATGGTCACTGGGGACAACACGCCATCTTTCGGGAGAGATAATAAACCAAAGTTCTAACTAAGATCCTGTGAGAACATATTTCATTGTGAGGTCCCAGCTAAATTCCACTCTGGTTTTTTCACAATTCGGCCTCCCTAAAATGTATTCATTTCCAATTTCATTCAATTAGTGATGCAAATTCTCACTACTCGATATACTCTATAGTGAGGGTGTTGATCCGAAAAGCTTGTCACACAGGTGAATTCTACACTTCAGTCGCGGAAGAAGTGGGTCCCGTCCTATTTTCAAGGTTCTTTGGCAGCCTTTGGCATGAAATATTTATAAATTGTACATTAAATATATGAATACAATTAACTAAGAACTAACACTTGGATTTGCGAAGAATGTTATGTTGTGACACAATGAGTGAGACACTGCCCTTCACATTCAGAGGGCTTACATTACAGGTTTTCACCACTAGGGGGTGACACACAATTTAGTACTGTACTTCAGAAACAGCAGGACACAGTAACAAGGCACAGGGGAGGGAGACCTAAGGAACACAGCAAGTATCTCACCAAAGAATCCACTACTGTCTACTGGATTGCATTTTTACATGGACACAGTACTGTTTTCCTTCTATGAACAACATCACAACCTCAACACCGTCTTTGCATCAATCAGAGATGCAAGATGTATCTGCCTTCAGCCTGAAATCTCTTTTGTTCTTTTTGTTTTGTCACATTTCTTATTTAAATTGACATCTACTCATTGTAATCCCTGAAATAGCAAAACATGAGCTAATGCCTACTCTTGACTGGAGGGGTTTTATTTAAGGCCACCTCTCTCCCTGAAAGCCACAAGGAGGCTCCATTAACAAGCTCTTGCTCCGGACTGGGCAGACATTCCTTTTAAGCGGTCTCTATTATACACCGAGTGCCATATAAGCACATGGTTATTTACTGCACTTTGATGTAAATATTATGTAAGGTTCATACCTGTAAATATCTGGGTCATACATGTTACTGGGTAGCTGTGACATGCTATTTCACTAAAGAAAACTCTTAGCACGTTTGCTCTTGTGGAAAAAAAAACAAACCATCAAATGTTTATGTGAAAGACTGCGCATGATAAAGAAAACAAATGTTTTCTGAAACACATAAAGGGAATATAAACTGCTCGCGAACAGGTCTGATGTGAAAGGAGTACTTTAACAATGAATTAGACTGACAAATCCCTTAGGATACAGTGACATAAAATCTTTGCTTTTCAGCCATATATATATAAATGGACATGTATAACAACTAAGCTATGTGTGTGGCTTTACAAGTAGGAGACTAAAACACTCCCCCTTTAGTAACACTAACACCTCTAAAAACACTGATGTAATGTTAAGCAAGGGATATTTTATCACCACAGAGAAACGTTGTTGATGCACTTTTGCTTCCTCTTGCGCACCAAGGTGCCAAGCAGAAATAATATCTACACCTATTTACTAATGTTTAACCAGTGAAGTCAAGAATCTAAAGTGTGATGCTGCTGGATCTGTTTATGTAGCCAGCATGCAGAAAGTGTGGGGATTCAGTTTACTGACCCATGCAATACACACACCTTACTCCTTATAATCACACAAAACAGTCGAAAAGTTACAGTTATTGCAGTCTAAAACCAAGAATTGTACTTGACATGTAACTTGGTATCAAATATTGGAACATGAAAGGAAGTATTGGGAATGTCCAGAGCTCTGAGGTCAGCATTTCATCAGGTACTACTATCTTCCTTAAGACAAGTCTACAGCACTTTATTCCAGGTAGCTCTCCCTTATAACACTTATTTCTGGAAAGTGAAGTATTACATTTTCCTCATACAAATTATAAAAATTATGTGCTGCTATGACACTCTTTATTACACTCTACCCTTTACAGATTTGTATTTCATCCAGCGTATTCTGCTGAAATGTAAATTGTAGATTATTTAAATAGGCTAATATAGACAGAGGTTAACCGCGATAATGTAATGTTCAGCTCAGTTCAGTGCTGCCAGCTAGTGGCATACAATGAGGAAAGGCTAGCTTTATCTATTCACAGCTATCCTATCCCGATGGCCAGATCCTCTCTATAGTCCAGGGATACAAAACAATCGTGAAATTCGAGATTTCTTTAACAAGGAAAATACATATCCAAAACATACACCAGAGGGATCCTCACAAAGAAGCAGCTTATACTGCATACACAGTGGAATAGCAGAATGACAAAAAACAGCCTTAACTGTCTTATGTGCAAAATAATAATTACATCACAAAATAATGTTTAATCTTTAAATTAAAACTTACAACCTTGTGAAAATGTTTTGCTTCCTGTATTTATTTCTTTGAAAACAAAACACTTCAAAGTACTCACAGAAATGTAAGCCTTCAGAGAAACATACCCATTTTTAATGGGCCAAGCAAATTGGTAACAGTGTCAAGCAAGTCATTTGTTTTCCTCTCTGAATTAGTATTCAATAAATACATGAGACCAAAAAAGGAACATTTGGACTTACAGACATTTCCGGTGTTGTCGAAACTGTTGAGCACCTCATTGACTTTGATAGGTCCAAGGTTATCCCTGGAAAGCCCAGATTGTAAAAAACAAAGTAAATATCCTCAAAAATACTAATCAAGGAAAACACAAAGTACCATGAAGCACAAAACAGCCATGGTAAATCATAGAGAAGCGTGGTAAACCTTTAAAAAGTTTGGAAACTATAGAAAAATAGTCAAAACATAATATAAGCTTGTTAAAATCATATGAAACCCCAAATGCACCATAAAAGTCTGCTAAATATTAATATATTCTACTGTACATTTAGTTGTCTGACATTTATACAAATCAACTTACATTTAAACCCATTTATATAGTTTAGTATTGCACTGGAACAATTTGGGTGATGTACCTTGCTCAACTGCACAATAACTGTCTCACCAGCATTTGAACTCACAACTTTCCAGCTATGACTCATGAGCTCTCACCACTGCTCCACACTGACCCCATGTTTAATTCCACACAAATTCACTGTCCTGTGTGACGAAAGCAACTGTGCATTATTGTTTTAATGCCTAAAACTCCTTCACCAGCAGCTGCCCTGTGAGAAATAACTCAGCGTTCATTTAGCTCTTGCTAAATTCATCATATATAAAAAAACACTTTAAGTTGATGTAGTGCGTGCACAGAGGCAGGCCGCCACCAGAGGGAGTGGGTGCAGAGGAACTCACAGTGTGGAATTCTGAGTGGGAAAACCCACCTGTAGGGCACAGGGAAACAGCAGCTGACAGACTCCCTAATTCACAACTACTCAACCAGCAACCCCTCTGATCCTGTCCAGTGCAGAGTGTACCTCTGACCAGCACTGCAATTAAAACTGGTAATCACTAGGATCAATATAACAACGAAGGTGCTAGCTACAAGAAACATCTGCAGTGGAGTGAATCAGAAGGACCACAGGGTGAGTAGGCATGCACTAAGCCCTTCACAGCAGAACCCTCTCCTCATTACAGGATACCAGTCTGGGAAGAAAACAACTGCGCTGCTTTAAGTTCACAGATATTTCTGTTCCAGAGGGCTCACCTTAAGAAGGCACGGAATTGTGGGAAAGTAGCACTTCTGTATTCAAACCACATCTCATCTCCAGGCTCCTCTATCTCCAGGTCCCTTACTCTGGTTCTGGTGAAAAGATTGAAAGAGGAAAACCTCCTCACAGACACTTGCTGCACCTCTATGTTGTCCAGTTGTTTGTGCTTCAACACCTGGGGACAAAGCAGGAGTTAAGAAGTTAGACTAACCCAATCTGAATTAAGGTCAGTGCATTAAAACCAAAAGACTGACTTTTTAAAAAAAAAAGTTTTAGAAACTATGCAGATACTAACAGGAAAAATTTGAAATGAAAGTGTATTCAATGAATATTTCACACCAGATGATTTTTTCTTTGGTAAATGACATGCCTATGTTAAGTTAGTTACACAACATGTCTGACTCTTCTATGCTAATGTAATAATAGCATAAAGGAGTCAGAAGTGTTACAGGTACTAGAAGCACTTGCGATAAACAAATCTCCAGGGCCTTCTGGTATTCTATCGATTATATATTAAAGGAGACAAGAGATGCTATTCATAGGACTTTAACAAAACTCTTCCAACATTCGTTCAAGACAGGAATATTACTTATAGACTGAAAAATCACTAATATAGTGCCCACCCAGACAAACAAATTTGAAACAAGTAATTATAGACAAATAAGTCTTCAGTTACCTGCAAACTTATGGAATGGTTTAATTAGAATTACACTAGATGAAAATTCAATCCTAGGAGATAGTAAGCATGGTTTTGGAAAAGTAAGTCTTGATCAACTGCTGTTAGAACTAGCAACAACAATCACACAAATCACATAACATGGTAAATTTAGATTCTCAGAAGTTTTTTGATATTCCTCCTTGTTAAAGATTAATTTTCAAATTGCAGACAGGATGCTTTCAAGGTAATGCTTGGATTGAGAACTAGTTAAGGAATTCGTATTAATATTTAGTCTATAAAGGAACAAGTAAAGGTTTTTTTTCCCTGCAGTAAAGACAAGAAAGGAAACACAACGTTTCGGTCACACCCAAAGAGGCTCCACAGCCGAAACGTTGTGTTTCCATTCTTCTCTTTTCAGCCGGGAATAAACCTTTACTTGTTCATTTGCAGCCTATACATGCTGACACAGCAACCTACTGGAACATATTTAGTCTAATACTATCCACGTGGGGACAGAGGGGAAAAATACTCCCATAAACATAAGATATTTGACATTGAAGGTGCATTTCTAAACCAAAAAGCATCGTCGTTGAACTCGAAAAAGCAAAATTAATTCAGTCTCAAGTAAACCGCAGTGGCTTTTGGAATACTAAATGTAGAATAAAAGACAGTGGAAGGTCACCACAGATACAGGAATGCACTTCTATCCATTTATGGGCAGGTTGTGGGTAAATAAGCACTCGGATGCTGCATTATCTGACCCGAGCCAGCAGCCCGCCCTGAGCGTGACGCCCCCCCGCGCCGCGCGCTGTGCTGGCGTCACTTCTCCCCTGAAATGAGTGGAATCTGGGACACGGCAGGTGCGCTGTGCTCCGGCTGTCCAACAGGTAGCGCGAAAAGAGTTGCAAGAGATGCACAGCTGTTGCTGTACTTTAACTTTATATCCCATTACTTTTTCTTCTTACTGCACTGCAGCTATATTAGTTTTACAGCTCAGGGCGTGCACATGTAATTGTTGATCTTTAGGCAAAAAGGCTCTACAGATTTATTAGCTAAAAAGCCATTGGTGTTTTATGCATTTTCCAAGCAGGCATTTTTAGACAATATTTCTTGTTAAAGTAAACACACCCCTCATGTTTTAGGTCAAGAACTGGGCTCTAAGAATGTAAGCTGTACCTTAGCTGTAATCTGCACAAACGCTTCCGAATTCTGACTTGCTTTCCCTTCTGTTCAGCTAAAACACGCAACCGAAGCTGGCAGCTAAAATGAAGGGGCGCAAATGATCATTTGGTTACATAAGAGCAGCTCAGACACCGTGTGTCGACTCAATCACGTTGTCTCACATCTCTACAGTTGCACTGGCTATAATTAACTTATAGCCTATTGTGAAGATCGTGTTAAAATAGTAGAGATTACTTCACCTGGCTCAGCAGACTCCAGCGCGCTCTGGCTACGTCAGGTCTGCAAACAGGGTGTTTGTCACTCTGACGGCTAGTGTCTTTTTCTCCTGACATTGCTTGACCCGACAATTCTTCATTTTTGCACAGACCAGAACCACCTGTTGGATTCCCCTCCATAGTCTAACAAACTGAATCGTAAAATTATGGAATGCTTTATTTTTTGCCTTTTCACTGTATTTTTATTTTTTATTTCCATTCATATTAGAAAAGAACAGTACTGCGCACTCCTACCCAACCCACCAGCACTCAATGGACACTATCGCAAGCTCAGTGATCTATTGAAAAGCATGCTACTTCCGTACACTTCCTGTTTCTCGTGGAGTCAAGGAAAAGCAATAGATCATCAAGTTCGTCGAGCTCCAACTTAGACCGTGCCGTGCTTCTCCTAAGGGTTTGATTACTGTTGCCTTCACATACGCCATCCAGCAGCGCCGGGTGACTAAGAAACATGGAAATAGCAAAGGCATGACAAAAATGCTTTGCAGAATTATAGCGTGGTTGTATTATGAATTCCATGTTTTAAGTATTCTTTTTTTCCTCTGTATGTGTCAGTTAAACATAAAGTCTTTTTTCTTGAATATTTGATAGATTTGTCCAGTTTAGGCTTAAATAAGTTTAATAGCTACTTGACAGTTTACTCAACTATTGATAACTTCTCGATAAATTTAACCGCGGCAGGTTATCTCGATTGTGTTGCTTTACTGTTTCTCTGATTGCCAAAAGTAGTTACTAAGAAATCTGGAAGGGACCGGGTAACACAAATGGCAGTATTATTGAGGTGATATTATTGCGAGATGTTATTATATGAATTCTGTAATACCACAGCAATGGCTAAATTGACTTCGTTGCTGTTCCACGTTGGTCGGACGCCTTGCGGGGCTCCGTTGGAAAGTGCAGGGAAAGTTGGGGGGCTCTTGGGTCTGCAGAAACTTGGGTTTGCTGCACCGCGTCGCCAGGCTGCTCGGTTCTATAGGCGGGTGAGAATGATTTCACATTCTTTTGAATGCGTGTCTGCAAAGATTACATTAAAGTTATCGTGCTTACTTAACATTTAACCTGCGCTAAACACTGGTTACATATTGCTTATTGTCTGGAGCCTGATTTTAGCCAGCATAAAATAATCGGAATCAGATGATTTGACGATTTACACTATGACTCTGCAGTTAAACACTGTAACATGTAATAAACCCTTGAGATAACTTGAAACTACATGGTTCAGTGATTGTAAGAAACTTAAAATGCAGTCTACGATTTACAGGGAGCCAATGCAGTTCACATACGATGAGTTATATACTGAGGTTGAGTAGGTATAGCCCTAGACACAGATATTTGGACATAACGAAGCCGGCTCAGTAAATTGGTAGGTAATCCATAGAGTAAAGCACCGTTGTCATTTAACTTTGATAAAAGACATGTATCAACATTTCAGCATCATAAGACCATTTGGGAGCCCATATCAAAGCATTTGGCCATGTTTATAGTGGCATTTTATTCCCAAGTTATGAAGAAACCATATTTCCTTCTTCCCCACAGGGCATTGTGAAATCTGCTCAAGAAGACTCTAAAGTCGAGCTGCGGAAGCTCAGAACCACAGAGCTGCACTTCAAGAGAAGATTAAGAGCAATATACAAGAGGTTTTCAGATTACCCAGACACAACAGTGGTGGGTACAGCTCTAAGAGTGTGTGTCCTCGACACAACTAGCGTTACAATAGAGTAAGAGTCTGCATAATCCTTTATGTGTTTGAGTGTCATGAAATGTAAGAAAATGTTAGCCAGGCTATTGCCATCCACAAGTATCGGACAGCTGTCAGATCACATTGAATAGTTATAGCTCAGTAGGCATCGTTTTGCTGAGACAGGAGCTCAATGAATAAATCTCCCGTGTCAAAAGGAAGAGATATTGCATGTAAACATTTGCCTTGCAGATCCATGGCAGACACCATGTCTATTTTGAGGAGGGCGGCAACATATACAGAATGAGCCTGATCAATGGTAAGACCTTAGACTAGACCCTACAGTGACTCTGGGGAGAACTGTGCTGCAATACAATCCACCGTCAAAATGTGGTAGTCAGTGGAACATGCACCGTGCTGCTCATTTTGTAACAAAAGATGTGCTAACACTGTCTACAGCTGCTTTATACCAAAACTGTAAAAGATGTACTTGTATGATTTTAGGCATTTGAGGATACAGTGACACGCAAGTTAAATGACTCTTGTATATGCTTACCTGTTACCTAAAACTAATGTTTTTTCCTAATTTAATGTAAGTCCTGTGCAGCCATGGAGGACTGTTTACAGACCCACATTAGGCTGTAAAAGAGGCTGTAGTTTAAGTCAGTTCTCTGCAATAACTTGCAGGGCTTGCCGACCATTTTCCTGTTAACATAACAAGTATTTTTGAAAATGCTCTTTTTAGAATTTCGCCCACCTCCCACCCTTTCTTGCAGTCCCTGCGCAACAGGCGTTGTGTATCGCCGCAGCGGAGCAGGGAGTGCCAGTGTGTGACTGTCTGTTGCAGATGCGAGGGGAGCTGAGCCGGTGCTGTGTGTGGATGGCTTGGTGCAGAGGCTAGGCTCCTCTGGCTGGACAGTGCAGCGGGTCCGACTCTCTCCAGGGGAGACACTCCTGGCCGCGGCGGTGAAGAGCCCCGACATCGAGGAGGCCGTCTGTGTGATTGTACGACTGGGGGTAACACCCCAGCTTCTTCACACAGAGCCCAAAGTCTTCAGTTTTGGTGAGGGTGGATCGATGCAAAAATCTTCCTGCTCGACCAGCGTTGCAAGGTTACAAATGAAAAGAGGCTGTTTGATCATCTGTTGTGTTTAGTTGCTTATTGATCTATGGCTAACCAGCCATGACTTGAAGGACTCTTTCGAATGTGTTGTTCAAAAACAATGCAGCTGGGCTAAAGTACACTTCATGAATGGAAGAACTTGGTTTTGTTCCTGCTGGAATTCCTGAGAAAGAATGAAAAGTGTGCAGTTTTTAAATGCTTCTGAGACATCACATTTTCACCATCTCATTTGTTAATGAAACTTCAATCATACATAATCCTGATTTGTTTTGAAATATATCACTACTGTTGGGCATAAGCTTGTGTAACTTTAGGATTCTCTCTGTCTTTGAAGAATGGGCCACAGACGGCATCCTTTTTTACACCAGTCAAGAAAATCTGCAGTGCCGTCAAGTTTACCGTCTTGTCCTGAGTGCAGAAGGGATTCAGAGGACCTTGGTCTACGAGGAGAAGGACCCAGCGTAAGACTGTTGTAACTCATCACTGGCTGTGCCCGCCCCATGGGTTACTTTGTCACTTGTTACTTGGAAGAGTGTGCAAGTATGAATTAATTTGTTGTAGTTCTCTTTAGCTGTTCCTGATTTCCTGCTTAAGCAAATCAAAGCAGATGCTAGGTTTTGTGATTTTGTCAAATTGAATTGTAAAATTTCAGAATAGGTCTTTGTTAGATGTTCAGTTCAATCTACAGTGTGAGTGTGTGTTAAGAGCAAATGTTGACATGATACTTGCATAACAATGTGCTGTCTTGTGAAACTGCCAACCCCACCAACGTGTGATTTCCACTGCACTGTGCAGAAGAGCCTTTCCTTGTGGATTTTCCAGGTTCTTTGTGGAGGTGAGCAGCTCCATGGACAGGCAGCTCCTGACCATTAACTGCAGCAGTAAACGCAGCTCAGAGGTGCGTGTAACACACTGCAGGTCCCCGCTCCTCTCCCCTGTTCTGGTGCAGCCACGCCTCCCAGGCCTGCTGTACTATGCAGAGCATGCAGGCTCCCAGCTGTACCTCCTGGCCAACACAGCTCCTGATAATGAGTACCAGGTGAGCTGTCACAGATCCAGATCACTGTATTCGCTTGCCTTTTGTGCATTTTGTTAACATTTCAAAATGATGACTGCAATTTCATTATGAATTCTAATTGCATAATATAGGAATATATGACCCCTTTTCTGATTGTTCGTTCCATGTGTACATTTTACTAACTTTAGCCTTTATGCAAATGGTAGTTTTAAGGCACCATGCATTAATCAACGCTGGAAAATTTTGGAATCCAGATCATTGGTCACCCAATAGTAGCTGATCTCCTGTCTATAGCTTGTGGATATTGATTAGATGCTTTTGGCCCCCATTAGTTAATCACTATTCAACTATGATGCTTTCTAGTCAATTTGACTGTTGCATACTGTAAGCATTAAATCACCTCAGTGAGCGATTTAGACTGGACACAGGTGATAGGGTGTCTCCAGTCATCCTGTTGAATGTCAAGTCAGGTGACAGTAAAGAATCAAATCATGTGCCCTGCATGTCAGGAGAGCAGTGCCTATAAACTATATGTTTCTTTGAAGTAATCCAAATGTCTGCTCATTAGTTCGCATACATTTTGCAACTGAAGGGTTCCTATCAAAAACAGATTGTTCTCACTGTCATATTATGAACAGTGGCATTTTTTATTTAATTCTTTCAATTTAATTCAGCTACTGCGAGCTCCGCTGACTGCGCCCCGGATGGAGAACTGGCATGTGGTGCACAGGCCCGCCCGTGGGGCTGGGCTGATAGACTTGATGATGTTGGAGAACTGCAGTGTGATGGCCATGAGAGCCTGCCAGCAGCTCTGCCTGAACATCATTCCCCTCCCGGACCCTACACACATCACCACTGTCAGGGTGGGTGACCAGCACGCCTGTGTACAGTGTACTGTATAAGGAGACAGTCTTCCATACTTCTGTCATTGAAACAATTTCAGTGCTCGATTCCCTGCTTCACCTTGTCTGCGTCTTTGTCCAGAAAGCCTGCGAGAGCAGCTTGATTTGTTTAGCGGTTGCAGTATTTCTGTAATGTAAGTAGTCTAGAGAGAAAGGCAACCCAGGCCTGTTTGTCTGGAAGGACTGTGTGATGCATTTCAGTAAAACCTGAAATGCTTTTTGATGGCAATTTAAAGTCAAACACCGATGCAAAGATAAGTATTGCTCTGTGTAAGTGCCATGTTTTTGTCTTGGAGTAACTAGTAATTTTGTTAAATTACATTCTTTGTCATTAACCACATTCAGTGTTAAATTCTAGTGTTTGTCCTTGGCTTTTGTGACACCCAGGAATTATATTCCATCACATCGCCATTATGAGCTGTCATTATGACCTTCCATTTGTAGGTTTTGTATCATTGTCCATGATAAACACTTTCTTCTGGCTTTAAGAACATATTTTCGGCACCTGTTTTGATGGACAAATGATGCAAAATTCTGCACAGAATATGGTCAGCTGAAGAATCACCAAGTGTCCTTCAGTTTAATGGGATTTTGCTTTTTTCTTATGTAATAATGTCTCACCAGCTGGGAAAGCTGCAGTAGAACAAAAGCTCTGAACATTAATTGTTACAAAGTTTCCAAATCACTGTCTATGGGCCTAGCAGCCAGTGCAGGAAACAGATCTGTGCCATTTATAGTGGATGCAGTGGGAGAAATTTGTTTTGTCTGGACACAGTACAAGCCTTTCAGATGTTACAGAGTTCTATATGATATGTACACCACACTTTTTTCATGTTACGCTTGAAACTCCTTAGTAGACATAGTAATTTTAAGTATCCTGTAACTGTAATTAGCTCAGTAATTTGAAGTGATGAGAGTAGTGTTTAGTCACAGCACTGATGTTTGTCTATATACAGCATTTGTGAAATACCTCAGTGGATATTACTATTGGAGGGTGGTGCCATGCATTATTAATAAGGATGACCTGCCTGCAGCTCCCTCCCTGGGCCTGTGCTTTCGAGCACGGGGCTAGCAGAGTGACGGACAACCAGACCTTCCAGTTTGTCCTCTCCTCCCCTGTTCATCCTCCCGCACGCTTTCTGTACTCTCTGGCGAAATGCCAGCTCTACTCAGAAGACGAAAACCTGATACCACACCACGCTGCCTACAGTACTACACGAGTGGAGGCCACAAGCAAGGTACTTCAATGAATTATGCATTGACAGGCCGAAGGAGTGAAGGAGTGAAACAAAGGTCAGACTCATGTACTGTTTAGAGTATGTCATGCGAAACCGTCTGTACAAGTAGGTGTTGTCTTGTGTCAAGTGGCTTGAATGGCTGGCTTTGTCTTGGGGTGCCAGTCCACCCCTCCCCCCCATCCCGTTGATGTTTTCCTGAACAAGTGACTGCATGCCTGCCCTTTGAACATGTGGCTCTTTGTGCTACTGTTCAATGCTACGAGCTTGGCTGCAGGAAGGTGACTCCTACATAGTTTTTACAGTCAGGTCCTGGTTGATCTGTGTTATTAATATTATGCTAATTTGACAGATGAAGATTTTCACATTTCAGTTTAACTCCAAATCCTATCCTGGGGAAAAAGAGTTTGAGTTTAGACTTGCTATTGCAGTTAGACATGTCAGAGATGCATTAAGTGATTGAAATGTTCTTTAACTGTCAGCTGGTGGAGGAGTAGGAAAAAAAAAACTAAAGGGAACTGAATTCTGTTTTTTTTTATCTACAAAAGAATGGTAACCTAAAATGGGTAATCTCAAATCTTGAGGCATGTCTGAAAATCCTCTTGATAAAATTCTTGTGATTCCAGGACGGGACACTGGTTCCAATGACTGTCTTTCACAGGCATGCCAAGGATCGCCTGGGCAGTGCACCGCTGCTGGTTCACGTGTATGGTGCTTATGGGGTGGACATCAACATGGCTTTCAAACCAGAGAAGAGGATGCTGTTGGACCAAGGCTGGACTTTGGCCTACTGTCATGTCAGGTACTTCAGTGCTTATCTGCTCTTGGGCACTGCAGATCACAATCTCGGCATAATGTCAAAAAGAAAGAAACAGCATCATTTTCATACTGTATCTCTGGAAAGCAGTGGTGTTCAGGGCTGGGAGCAATACAGCTCTCTGTAAGCCTCTGTGTGCTGTGCTCTGCAGGGGAGGTGGGGAGCTGGGGCTGAGCTGGCACAGGGCAGGGTGTTTGGAGAGGAAGCACCGCGGAGTGGAAGATCTGGAGGCCTGTATCAAGAAGCTGTTTGACCAGGGTATCTCCCAGCCCGCTTTGACTGCCATTACTGCACACAGTGCTGGAGCTATCTTGGTGGGGGCACTGTGCAATGAACAGCCTCAGCTGCTCAGAGCTGTCACACTACAGGTGAGAGAAACCTCTCAGCCACAGATAACATGTCTCTGACCATGTATTAGAAACTTGAACATCTGTATCTTTCTGGAGTAACTGGGAGTCTCAACTTCCACCTCTAGTAGAGCCCTTAAAACATTATACACTTTATAGCCATCTTCATTTTTGCTCCTGTAAATCATATACAGTATGATATATGGAAAGTTCTATTACTTATAATTTCAGTTAATACTGTACGTGTTGTATACAAGCTAGAATAAGTCACACTAGCAACAAATAATACATTTTACAGAACAGAGAGTACTGCAGCAAGCCTTACATGTCATGCTTCTATTTATGCCCTGTCTGTGGATTCAGAAAAGCACACATTAATGATTTAATTAAACTAAAAACCTCAGTAATAGTGTGTACAACAGTGAAGGAAGGCAGAATGAACAAGTGCTCACAGGATGTGCAGAGTAGTGGGTTCTAACAGTAATATCTCAGAGAAGACAGAAACCCTACAATTGTGATGAATTATATCTGCTGTCTTTGACAACTCATTGAATCACTGTTGAAAATGGTGTGCAGCATGGTGAAACATGTTTGATGAGATCCAAAGGAGATGCATTGTAATAGTTTTTGAGGACGGAGTAATTTTACCCCACTTCTTGGTCATCAATTGCCATCAGCAGCCTCCCACTATACCATACTGTGCTTAAATAACTACGTGATCTTAACTTCATGATCCCCTGTGTAATATAGTAGATTATTGTTACGGAATTACACACTACATACTCAACCTCATCTCTTAGACAAGTTACTATACACATCCATCCCGGATTAGCTGAATGTCTGAGATGAGACATGTCCGGCCTTTGTCTGCTGAAAAAGTGACAGTTTACAGGCCACTGTAAGCTGCTACTCAAACAGATGTTTGAGTCGTGAGACCCGCACCTTTCTGTACTAATGAGATTTGATTTTGTCACTTGAGGTTGTCTAGTGTCCATGTTCTGAATTGTTTTCCATTCTGTGTTCCTTCAACTCCTTTGGATTGTCCCCTTCCCTCATGCCTGCCCCTCCCCCACCCCCACAGGCTCCTTTCCTGGATGTCCTGGGCACAATGCAGGATGCCTCTCTGCCCCTAACAGTCGAGGAACGGGAAGAGTGGGGTGACCCCCTGGCTGACCCCTGCCACTGGGACAGCATCGCCAGCTACTGCCCCTGCCACAACATCACTCCACAGGTCAGCTCACAGCTCACCTCGGCCCCCTCGTGCCAGAGCACAGCACGCTGCCAGACTGCAGCGCCCTGCGCTCCGCGTACACAGCTGTACAGCGCCGATCTCAGGTTTCATGGTGAAAGACTGTGTAGTTCCCAGCTGAATGCTGCAGTGGGAAGTGTAATCCTCAGTGTAGCAATGAGTTGGCTAATCCAGCAGAGGAGACAAAAGTTGATTCTTTCAAGGTTCTTCCTGTGTAGGACCTTTGATAGATGAAGTAATTGAATCCTGTCCTCCCTTCTAATTTCTTGCGAGTAACCCATTTTATTATCCTGTTTAGAAAGATGACAGATGATCAAGTCCCTTACTATTTTGATATACAAAGCTTTTGATATAAAAAAATACCTGTGGCTTTAATGTTCTTTTATTCTATTTCTTACCACTGTTATGGAGTTTGCACAGATCATTTCATTGTTCTGCTTGCCTGAGAATTAACACTGAACATTGTCAAATGCAATTCTGTTTCAGAGGTACCCCTCCATGCTGATCACAGCTTATGAAAGGGATCAGAGAGTACCACTGGCAGGAGTGCTAAGATACGTTGAGAGGCTGAGAGCAGCAGTGCAAACACATAGTGGCCACAATAAAACTGGTAAGCAGGCTTGCCCAGTAACCTTTGAAACCATATTACAAGGGAAACAAACAAGCCATTTAAAAAAATTGATCTACCCAGACAAGGACATATACCTATTTATTTTCAGTATTATACTGTAGGAAGCATCTTTTTCATTAATTGTGCCTTTGATTCATCTTTTAATAAATGGCAGAAAGAAAGGCTTTGAGTCAGACCTGCTGTTCTGATTTTGCTCTCCAGATCACTATTGCTAAAAAGCTGATCCCTGTTTCTACATGCTCTAATTTAAGACTTTCAAGTAAGCATTTCTTACAATTTCTGCAGCCTTACGGAAAAGCCCCATTTCCCCCCGGTTCCTTCTGCCAATGTACTTTCTGTAGTGGTTAAACAGCCACCATCAAATATGAAGTTTACCATTTGTCTGTTCCAGTGTGTCAGGAAAATGGTGACATTGTCATACAGCACAGTACAGCATCAGCATGACTTTAGATTGTACAGGGTGATTACTCAAGCTCTTGTCCTGACTGAAATAACACGTATCAGACCAATTTCAGAATGCAAGTGTACATGTACACAATTATCTCTGAAACTGAGTTTATTTAAATCTTTAAGGGCTTTTCCATGGTCTGCTCTTATTTTAGAAGCAGAATCTTTGCCGTCAGTTGTTTTAGATGTTCAGCCAGGGAGCGATCACTTTGGCCCTGAAGACCTTGACAAGTCTCTGAATGAGGTAAGAGCGCTGTGATGATTAAATCATACTTAGGGTCCCAATTTACAAAGCTTTACCTGTCCCACATCTCTGAGTCTTACAGTAAAAGTAAAAAAAGTCCAAGGACCTTATTTAGTTCTCCATCATCACTGGTATGGGTTTGTCAACACAAAATAATAAAAAATAACCTTTGTGCTCTGAAATGGGCTATACTGTGCCTGACTCAAGAATGATTTGCTTATTTTCTTTTTGCCCTTCTCCTAAGATTGCCAGGCAGTATGCATTCCTGTACAGAGAGCTGGGGATTGACTGGCAGTATTGAAGAAAGAAGAACAGACGATGCCAAAAACCTGCTTCACAGTGGAAACTGGCCAGACAATGAACGTGGAGGGGGAAATGTTAACCTAAGAGTAATGTTTGAAGTCTGGCAATGACGTGTGTGAACAGACTAGTCAAGCTCAGGGCCACATGAATAAATCACACCTGCAGAAGGCTCCACAGCCCAAACGTGTTTTTTCTGCCTTTTTTAGTACCTATTAACATTTAAACCTATTACTTGTTCCTCCACATTAACTAATGTCACGCAAGTAAGAGTCCCCAGGTCATGTAAAAAACAGCCTTCTCCTGTTTGACACGTTTTAACCTCCTTGTGAGAATTTTGTATAATTTCCCTACGCTCCAGAAGCCCAATAATATCCTTTGAAAACAAGTTACACAACAGAGGAAAAGAAGGATTTTTTTTACTTGCACCTATTTAATTGGAAAGCGAACAGATTATAAAGCATTGTTCTAAAAACAATCTGATCAAAGAGGCAGAAAAACTGTTATGCTTAGCAAATCCTTCAAGACTCTGTGATTGTCAAACCCCGTCCATATGGGTTTCCACACAAGTCATACGTTCTGTCAGCAGTTCTTGTACAGGATGCCCAGTGTGCTTTGGTAGCAGGCTTTCTCCGAGACAAAGCACTTGTCCTGGAAGGCGGGGCTGTTGTGGACGAGGCGGGTGGCCGTGTACTCCAGCACCAGCCCCTCCCCCCGCTCCGTTTCAAGACGGGCTGCTTGCCGACTCTGGCCGGCGGCCGAGTCGCGGGTGCTCATCCGCACGCTGAGCTGCGCTGGGAGATCCGGCAGCACGGAGGCCAGGTCCGTGGTGGTGCGGTTGGCGAGGTTGAGCACGATGAGGAAGGCTCGGGGGTAGCCGTCCAGCTCCCTGACGAAGGCGAAGATGTCTCGGCTGCTCAGCACAAAGCAGGTCCAGCCCCGGTGCAAGGGGAGCTCGCTCTCGCGCAGGAAGCTCAGGGCACGGTACTGCTGCAGGACGGACCAGCTCTCCGCCTTCTGCGCCTGGTCGTGGAAGAGCAGCAAGGCTCTAATAATACCCCAGCATCCCCATCATCATGGACAGGCAAGAAAGCAAAGCCTTCTGAGCAATGGGGAACATGATCCTCACTGGAGCAGTGATGCTGTACAGGTGTTGAGACCCCATCAGTGTGATGACAGCTCTTGGGAGTAAATGGCAACTAAAGGCATTGCAAAAAATTATCAAGGACGACTGGAGACTATTTATGTTGGCTCTATTCCACACTGATGTGTGTTAACACTTTGACTACAGGCTTGCCCATTAATGCCTGCGTCTATTTTATTTTTTATGTGCCATTCTAACACACTCTCCTAATAAAAACCACATGGGGGACACTTTCAAGCCTGTGAACAGCCAGCCTTACCTCTACATTTACAGTGACGTAGTCCGGGTGAACTGAAAGCCAGGTTTTGTTCTTGCTGAACCCAGCATTCTCAGTGCTGTCCCACTGCATCGGTGACCTCGCTGGGTCGCGGTTCTCACTCTTTGAGGAGAAACAAGATCACAAGACAAGTTAATCTCCACCATTTAACTGCTAGTGTATAGGCATCTGAGTTTGTCTCCCACCACATTCAAGAGATCCTGCAAAATGATGTGAGAAATTACTTCTACCTCTATTGTTAGAATGAGATGTGAATAGCAGAGGTGACCAGAACAGCTGTCAAACTACTGAGATATAAGTGAAAAGACTTCTGAGATTTAATTCTGACATAGTTTTGTGTCATAAAAATATATTCAACACTGGCAGGACCTGTATGAATACACTAGAGCCTGCAATTTGCAGATACTTACTATATTGAACTTCCCTAATGGGTCTTGAATCTCACTGACAGACACGTTGATGTTTTCCATACCAATCTCCTCGCCATAATATGTAGTGGGAGTACCAGGCAGAGTGAGGAGGAGCATATTGATAACATTGATGTATTCCTTCCCTGTGCGTGACAATATTCGACTCTTATCATGATTTCCAACCTAAAGAAAAAAGATATTATCAGTAATACAGACAGAAACAGTTGAACACTGGACTTTTCTAATCCAATGTTCCTTATTTATAATTGACATGCATTTTTCAGTTTTATAATTCAGTTATTACCAGCAAACTAGAAAAAAAAAACCTTTCTAGTCTATTTTAAATGTCCTAAATAATACACAATGTACATTTTTAATAGATATAAGAAAGACATACCACCCAGTTTGGCCATTTTCCTTTTGGCATATTAGACATCCATAAATCCACGAGTTTGAAGGCACCATTACCAGACAGGTTGTCAGGAAGATCAATGAGGTAGAAGTTAAAAGGGAAATCGGCTTCTTTTACAAGAGGGGTTCCATAGTACATCATAGACTTGTCAATCTCTCCTTCATCATAGGACTCTGTCACCATAAACCTTGGACACAAGAGTCATTGGTTAGTGTGGGAGGAAGCACAAGATAAAGTACTGGCATCATTCAATTTTTATTGCTTTCACACATTTCATTAATGGAAGGAAATTTAATCAATTATTCTCTTCTTAATTAAATTTGTTTTTAGTTTTTTCATTGTTTTGCTTTGCATGGAAGAAAATGTGATATACACTTTAAATCCAGACTAAAACTAAACTAAGAAGACTCAGTTCTGGAAATTAAGATTCATGAATAGACTCAACATTTCCTATATGGCTGACATTGGCAGAAAGGTCCAACATTGCCTCATAGCTGCAAGTGTAGCATCATCTTGTAAGCAAACACAATTACCGGGGAGATCATATTCTATCCAGTATGCTTTTTAAATAAGAGATAATAAATCCACTATTTAGGGCATAAATATTGAGAATGACCATTGATTATCAGCAGTGGGATGCATAGAAATGCTTGAAGATAATGTGAAAATTAAATGTAGTTAGTACAATAAGGACAACATGATGAAGAGTAAACCTTATTTGTAACTCTTAGTTTTATTCTACAGCCATAGAATTTCCAAGGCATAAAAAGCCCAAGTAGGAGTAGGAGAGTTCATGGGTGCATTCACATTGTGCTGTATGCTAATGAACAGAGTGGTTGGTAGGTTGAAGGAGATCAGATAAGGAAAGCTGTGACGGGATATACCTGTAGCGGCCTGGCTCTCTGCTGTACTCATCCATCAAGGCACGCCACTCTTGCAGGATGGTATGCAGCCCCAGCTGAGTCGTTGTATAGTCATGATAAAGCTCAACGTGTGAGCTGATGTTCTCCTGACCAGGAAAGCGAAAATTAGTGCTGTCATTGGCCCCTCCAATTACCTTAGTCTCACCTACTCAGACTGGCACAGCGCAGTTCTGTCCCGCTTGATTTACAAGGATTAAACATCAGAAATAGAACCTTCAAATTAAAATTTGAAATCAAATTTGCGCAAGTATTTTTTTTGGCTCTAATGTTTGGAATTACAACAGGAAACAGCCTATCCAGCTAGTAGAAAGGTAAACAAAATATTTTTTTTCTGTAAAACCTAGATAAATAGATAACATCAACTTGTGCCAGTCATAAATTTAAATTTAATTTAAATTAAAGGAGATAAAACTTATAACAAGACCTGAAACAGCACCCACTGCCTTTCCACTTTCATAGGCCTTCCACTAACTTCCTAAACTGCCCAGGCTTTTCCCTGACTGCCATTATTCTCCCTTCCTTGTACAGAATTTTGCCAAGAACAATAAGTCTGTTTCTAATTGGATCTGTGACGTGTACCCTGGGTACAGTTTCTACCTGGGCATGAACAAATGAAGGATGTTGAATTGAGTCGCAACTCTAACTTAGTGTACTTAAGAAGCTTAAGTTCTCTGTCACTTCTTATTGCAATGTCATTTAAAGCATCATAAGCCAAGGCTAAGCTTCTTGATTTTAAAGATTCTGTGTCCCTAAATGCACAGATGTCAAAGGAACACAGCTGTTAGCACTTCTGTCTCATTAAGACCAAGACTTACAGGGGGTTGATCCGAGTTCACCTGAGGTTCATTCCTCAAGTGTTGAGCTTCCAGCAGGTGCTTCACGGCGTCCACTCGGAATCCATCCACCCCTTTTTCCAGCCAAAACCGGATCACATCCTGAAAAATGTAATAGAAGTCTGGAGAAAAATGACAGTTCAAAGACTTCAGCAGCCCACAGTAAAAAAAAGGTTTTCTGTTGCATTTAAATTGTTAAATTAGATTTATGTTCCTCCTGTTTTGACAAAGGAGTCCGTATAACCCCTCCAAAAAAACCCTGGATTTACAAGATCCCAAACCTCCGAACCTCAGTCTGAACAAAAAAGCGATGGTAGCAATATATAACTGCAGTCCTAACTATATCATTATACATTTGCATTCCTTTTATTCAGCAAATTCTTTGTCGTTATGATTAACAGTATATGTTCTTTGGACTTGGAGATGTCTGAATAAGTACAGGTAAACTCTGTACATTCAGCTAAGAGAAAGGTAAAGCTCATAGTTAAAGATTAAGTGCTAGGAAGACAGACTAACAATAATGTAGGTAAAAATGTATTAATAACCTGCTAAGGTAACACCACTGAGCTTGCAGCTGAGAGGCATTCCTGTCGTTTAAAGATTAGTTTTCCAAGACTTTATCCAGGATCAATTTGAGAAAAAAATGGTTAACTTTACAGACAATATTTCTGGTAGCTAGTTTAAGTTTAAGCTTAAAACATGTAATTGTGAAATATTCACTTTGTCCATTCAGCAACTTCCATGTCACTGTGCCGAAGAGTTGCTTGACGAATGTGTTAATGGTATGGAGAAAGCGATCTGTGGCTTGACAGTAACAGAAGTGGCCGGGGAGCAATCGCTGCTCAGCTTGTTCCCAGGGACAAGGCAGCTGGAAAGGGTCCACCTTGCCATGAACTTCCTGTGAGCTTGCTATAGCCCTGGCTAGGATTACTGTGCCACCTGATCAGACATAAAGAGTACTCTGTGATGACTCCCTTGGGGAGAGCACACAGTGAGCTCTGTACTCAACCCTGAAAATCGGAAAAAAAATGGCACTCCTCGAAGACACAAAAACATCCAGAAACACAACCCCACTGAATGAGACAGTGTGATCCAAAAATCGTGGGCATCAACATAGAATTGCTGTACGTGGTTCAAGGGAAGTCAATGAAGGAACTGATGGTGGGATAACCAGTTTTTACCGGTACTGCATCTATGATTCTCTACCCATGATTAAAATTCTCGCAGTAATTATACGAGTTGTGAGTAAAGCTTTGATATGAATGTGTGGAAAGATTTGCGACGCTCTCCTCTACAATCTGAGGGCTTTTTTCTTGGTGACCCGGTACAAATGAAAACACTAAATTACTGGCAGCCTGTTGTAATATTCTGTCCTAAGGTTGTTGTCGGGTAAAACGTTTTGAAGAAGTTATGTTTAAAGCAAGAGTTAGAATCAGAGGTTAGAACACATCTGAGGGTGCGCAGAAAAAAATTGGAAAGCTTTCGCTTAACACTCTCACATGATGCTGTTTTACACCTTTCATAGTTAATTGTAGCATTATTCATAAAAGTTAGAAAACTCAGTTTGAATTTATGTTTGAATTAGGGGTGGTAATTGAGTTGGAGTTTATGAAAAAGGGTTCATCAGTCAGAACATATTGCAAAGCCTTCTGCCTTACAGAAACAGTTCTACCCTACCAGTGGTACTGGAAACACAAACAGTACTATTACATGATCATACTGGAAAGAGAAACATCCCTCATTTTGGTGGAGTTAAGCCATAAGAGTCTACAGTATGGAGAAAGCTGGGAGTCACCCAGGGAAGCTCTGAATACTTACCATCATTTCTTTCATCACCTCAGGGTTCCGATAGTTCAAATCCGGTTGCTCTTTCAGGAACTGATGGAGATAGCACTGGTTCCGCATTGGATCATACTCCCATGCTGAGTTTCCAAACACGCTCACCTGGAATAACATCTCACAGTTCTCATTGCAATCCAGGGAACGCTACTTACTGTTTTACTAGTTCTCTGCTTGAAGCTGAGAAATGGTCGGACCTGTCAGGAGCTATCATTGGTTCTGAGAATGATGTGAAAAACCTTCAGCTCAATTTAGAATCTGGATTTACTTCTTAGAATGGGCTAAAGCTTTAAAACATCATTACAGGCCTATGTGGTTGATTTGCATTCATGGCCATCTAACGTACTGCACTAAATACTGCATTTTAAGGAAGTATGCCATCATTCTACTTTCTTACAAAGCAGTTGCTGCATTCATAAGGCTCACCCAGTTGTTAGGATAAATAGTTCCATTGGATGTGTTCTGACAGTCGTGCCAGATATAGTAATCCTTGTACTTCTCTGTCCCATTTCGACTCATCTGAAACCAAATATGCTTGTCGCTGGTGTGGTTGGGAATGAAGTCCATGATCAGTTTTAGGCCTGAAGAAGAGAAATTACACAATATGAAACCACAAGGTACTGGAAGCAACTTTTAACATATAAATGATGTTACACATAATGCCACATTCCATTTCAGACACTGTTGGCTGCCTGTATTTATTTTTCTAAAATACAGTACATGCTATATAGCTAGATCTGATCTCCTCTAAACTAGGTGGTGTGCTTTGCAGTACCCTTGTCATGCATTGAAGCAAGCAGATCTTCAAAATCTTCCATGTTCCCAAAAATGGGGTCAATGGCCCTGAAGTCCTCCACATCATAACCGAAGTCCTTCATGGGCGACTTGTAGAACGGGCTGATCCAGATTGCCTTCACGTTGAGGTACTGGAAGTAGTCCAGTCTGCTCTGAATACCTACCAAAAAAGTGGAATGAGTTTTACATTCAGAGTGAGACGCGCAGAAAGAAACAGAGTGGAGTCTGGCTCAAGGGAGTCACAACTGAAGTACTATGCATGGACACATTGCTAACACTATGTATTACAATGTACTACTATTTAATACTATATACTGAAATTGGGGGCATCAATACATAAACAATGTTTTCAGAGTGAGGGATAAGGTTAACATTGAAATATTTCGGTCAAGTACAAATCAGGGACACAGCTATTGTGTCAGATAATTACCCTTTGAGCATAAGTATATTCCTTCCCCAGAGCAGTGTCTGAAGCCATGTGCTAATGTCTGTTACATGTTTATGAACTACAAAGCATGTGAGTCACCTATCTCAACCAGTACACTTGGATTTTTAAAAGCAAAAAATGAAAATACTTTCTTTTCATTTAAAAAAATAATTTGACTGTGGTTTATGTTTTCCTTCTGGATGCTGCCTATGGTTTTTTGGATACAAAGTTTTACTACCACCCATAAAGGAGGCCTATAAAAGTAGGGGAGTGTTAAATGTGCAGTATTTAAAAGCAATTTATAATGCCAGTCATTAAGGTTTGGAAAAAGTAGCTTCACGGCTTAAGATAAGGATCTGCATTTACTTGGCACAGCATTTGCTAACAATAAAAGTTCACTTACTCCTAATCTTGAAATGACATTCTTTAAAATTATTCAAATTAATAATTATGAGGAAGACCACGTCAGATAAAAACTTAAGTTTTGTTTGTGCCTGTTGCTTGAATTATAACACCTGGAAAAAGAAAAATAAGTCTGGTAAAGTCTGGTACATCCTGTAAATACAACACAAAAGAATGCCTCTTCGTACAGCACCTTTCAGGTCTCCGACGCCGTCGTTGTCCGAGTCTTGGAAGGACCGCGGGTAGATCTGGTACACGGGCGACAGCTGCCACCAGCTCAGGCACCGTGGGGACAGCGCGACGACAGTGACGGTGAGCGTCACCAGCGCCACGGTGCACAGCACGCTCAGCCAGAACAGGAGCTCGCGGGGCAGGCGGTAGCGCGCCTGGCTCGAGTACCGCAGCAGGACCTCCTTGGGCATGCCTGCGTAAGGTCTGATCTGGGTATAGTCACCCTCCTGCACCCCCGGCGACAACGCGATAGCCGGCGCGCTGGGGTCCTGCTGTTGGCTCCCTTCCCCATACTCTTCGAACCCAGCATTTTCGAGTCCTCCTTTCAGCTCTATAACGCTGCCGTTCAGGTCCTCTTTAGACATAGCTGTGAAAATCAACGTGCAAGAAGCTCCGGTTCTGAGAAGTGCCACGAAACTCACATGCAGTTAATACTACTTCACCCTTGACCGCTCTTGTGGACTGCAGAGTCCAGAGTGCAGACCAGCCCTCGCATAAGGTATAAAAGGATTATAAAATGCTGTTTCAAGTACTAAACTGAAAGGCGGGGTTTTTCTATGTACCAAGCACAAGAAAATCAATTCCTTATCAGTCATGTGCGCATAAGCAGAAAGCCACAATAACGTACTGTTAGTAAATACCTCGTAACAAAGCACATTCTCTCACCAAATGTAATTACAAACTCTGGAAAAGAATGCTCCTTGTTCTTCGACATGTGAATAACCTACTTAATAATCTTACAATGGCTGTATGTTGTCTTACGAATGGTTTGTTACAAAAATAGTTTAAATGTACCTTTCGTCTTCGAATAGGATACATTTAAACTGGACAGATTTAAGGAATTCAAAGATGCTTCAACACGAGTCAGACATTTCCAACTCGGAACACTTCATAATCGCCAGCATTCTGGGTTCAGGAATCTGGTGTAATTCTATCAAATATGCGAGAGTAAAGAAGATGCAACGAGTCTTCGTAGACAAGTTTGACATGACCGATCTTGCACCACATATTTCCCCCACTTTGTAATTAATACTCTCCGGAGCGAAGCAGGAATTTTACTCTGTAAAGGCATACCTGGCGTCGACTGAACATGACAATTAGGGTATCAGCACGACAATCGTTTGACACCTCTGACGGGTTCGCAGAAAATGCAGCTTGTGTAAGTATCTGCGCATGGGGTGTTAATTAGTCACAGGGCTCGGGTTTCTGATAACATGTTGAGGAATCATTTACGCACACGCAAGATGCATGCAGAGTGGCGTTTGATTGAAGGAGTTAATCCCCTCATTGTCAAGCCTGCTACCAACAGACCACAACAACCTGTAGGACCGGGTCTCTTCCCAGGCTCATCATTGCCAAAACACCCCGGTCTTACGCAGGCTGCAAATTCTCACTTCCATTCGTTTACAGCTAACAAAAGCGGTTAATCTTAGGTGTAAAAACGACAGCTTAAATTGCCAATTTACAACGGCTCCTGTTCATGTCCGCTCCACAGGTGTAGATTCTTATCGGAAAGTATGCGAGTACACTGTGTACAGATCATTTGGAGGTCACAAACTAGGAGCTGTCTCCTGAACAGAACCCTACGCATTCAAATAAGCAGACTTGACAAAGAGATATTGCTGTATGAAACGGACAGTGCAAAGCATAAAGTGGAGCAATATCAAACATATTAGCACTTTTCTCCGTGTGTATCATGCAGGTGGTAGTGCAGGCTATCGCACAGAAGGTTGGGGTGTGCAATTTCACATACAGTGTTATCGTACGGAAATCAGAAGATCTCCCTTTTTGAGTTTGTATTATACCCCCAGTACCTCCTGGTGGCCAAACTTGGGCTCAGCAAGATTTGAAAAACGAATAGAGTCGATGAATAACGCTGTGGACCAAAGAACAGAACAATCAGTCTTATGGATTGATAAATCCATAAGCCAACCTGAGGTGTGAGCTAGGGGTGATCGTCTTAATTAAAACTTGTCCACCAAGAACACCACAGAGCAGGATACCACAGCTGGGTTGCAGCACACAAACTGCTCATCACACTGGCACTGCATGTTTTCAAGTCCACCGATACGAAGAGCATAGTCAATGGCAAGATATGATCTGGTGAGATGAATCATCCTTCACCATGTTTTTAACAGACGAATTCACAAGCAGCACCAGCCTAAACTCTACAGCCCTGAGTGCTTGATTTAAACAGTGAAGGTTCCTGGCATGGTCCTGCAGTGTACATTCCCATGGAGTTCAAAGGGTAATGTTAATCACTACTAAATGGCACTTGGTAATCTTCCTCACCCAATGTTACATTTTTTTTGCTGCCTTGAGGTGTGTCCCCTCAAGTAACATCCAACAACGTCCCCATCCACAGATCATGTGTAGTCATCGGATGGATTGATGAGCACGGCACCATTATCCTCATGTCCTGGCTTTCCCAGTTTCCAGATCTGAAATTAATCTATATTTTTTGGGAAATGAGAAATTATAGAAACGGCATTTTCCACAGCCATCAACCTGGTGTGTGCTTATTGGCCTTCTCGTGAAAGAATGGCACCACATCCTCCTGCAGAATTCCACATGCTGGTAGAATCTATGCCATACAGTCACATATAAGCCATACTGGCTACACGAGGTGGCCCAACTCCATATTAAGTGATTTTACATTGGCATTTCAATTTTTCTGTCCACCACCTATATATCTTCTGCATGGACTCCCTCTTGTGTCAAAGCATAGTCATTACAATTACACAGGACAATCGGCAGACAAGCACAATGCACAACACTTAAAACAAGCCCCATCTCTCCTAAGAATGATTAACTTTTCTGGACTGTATCATTCTGGGGTAGCTACTGCCTCCCAGCTGTTGGATCTTGAGTATGAATCCAGGCTGGTGTCCCTTCTCTGTGAAGTACGCATTTGTCTCACAGGTTCACACCAGTTTTTGCTGAGCCAATTTTTTTTAGTTTTCTATTTAAATCCAGTGAGGCTACTTGCTGCAAAAGGTCTCCCCTGGCAAGGTTCATGCAGTGCTTTGTTTGTCCATTTGCTTTAAAACATTCAAGGCCAAAACCCACACTTTTATTAGAAGATGAGAACTGGTGACAACAAAAGTATTCTGGCACTAACGGCTGCATGCAACATTAGGAAACATTAAAAAGAGGACATACACATAAATAATAAAACAGAACAGAATTAAACAGTTATTTTTCATCTCTCCAACCAGATGAGCCCTGGATTAGTGCTGAAAGAATGAATAACAGCAATGATAATGCCCACCATCTTTAGCAATCCTTTATTGAAGATAACAAGGTGGTTATGTTCACTGTATTGTATGAAACATCACAATATCATCATACTGGGAACTATCAGTACAAGGAAGGATAAGAGTGGACATTCAGTGACCTCACCTTCCTCCATCCTCCAGCTTTGAACACACCCAGCACAGGGAGATAGAACACACTTTTTAACATTATTTCATCCCATTCTCTTTACAACATTTCTCATTTACAAGGCTAAAATCTATGAATAAATAAAATATATTGTGGCAATAATTATTCTATATACCAATAATTGTAGATACACACAAAAAAATCTCAGGATAGGTGACCGTGGACACCAGAGCGCACATTTTTTTCAGTTTTTTTATTTTTAATTTAGGCAGCGTTCTAGCACACGCCTACAGTTAATGCATGTTGGATGGAGAGGAACTGGAAAAAAAATGAATTCCTTTTAGATCCAATTAAAGATACTCATTCTACACAAGAGGGGAACTCACATCAAATAACAGGATGAACACGAAAAAAATACAAGGCATCCACAGCATGTATATAGTTGTGTATAGATGAATTACATTCATTGATCTCCCTAACCCCAGCTTCTGTTTGATAAATATTTCCCTTTCCCTTGAACATCATTACCTCAACTCAGTACATGCACAGCTCAAAATCATTTAATAAAAATCAAGGTTATTGCAAAAATAGAATCACACAGAATATTCAAGTACCTAATAATCATTTGACAGCCATTCTTGTACCATGTAGTTAGCAGAGTAAAACCAAAGATCACTGAGCCACAGGCAGCCCATCTTTCGCTTTTTATGTCATATAAAGAATTAGAGAAAGAACTTTTTGAGTTTTCTGTATTTTTATTTTAGAGTACTCTGATAACTTTTGTTTGTAGTAAATGCAAACAATACCCATATTACACAATACTCTGTATCTGAAAGCAAAAAAAATAAAAAAATGAAGCTGTTATATAGAAAAATCCACATCGAACAAAACCACAATTTTACAATATCATAAGAGAAAGGCAAAGATGGATGCGAGAATTGTATTCTGCACGAGAATGGGTGAGAAGAAAGAAAAGAATAAGTATTGAGGTTCTGATGAAAACAAATCCATTTAGTTTGCGGAAAAAGCTCAGTTTACCAAGAGCTTCAATACCTACTGTTCTGTGCACATGCTTGGAAAAATCCTACAGAAAATGTATACCTTTACATGTGGTGTACAATTAGAATTTTTGTCAGATGCATTTTTTGTTTTTTAAAACAAGCACAGTAGGCAACATCTGACAGTAGAAAAAAAAACAAAAAAGGAACTTTAAAATATATACTTTTCTTGTCTTTTTAACAGCAGGATTAAAAGCGTGTGACCAACAGAAGAAGAGAGTGAGACAGAAAGATACACAAGGAGGATCAGTGTCAATGCAAGTTCCCTCCGAGTCAGAAAAAAGGTGCAAAAAGCTCTCAACCTTGAAACCTTAAAAACACGTAATGCCTTATGAAGCCACTTCTAACATTGTACATGCGCTTGTCCATTGAGCTATTCTGCAGGTAAAAGAATGCGATCTCTTCTGGGTAGAAATCACCTTCAATGCACTCTGGCTTACTTTGCACTGCATTGTGCCATAGATTTCAATCTGTCCTGAATGGTGTGAATCTGACACCTGAACCTTCAGCATCGAAGAGTCCAAGACGGCCAACAAAACACTGTGCTCTGTATGTTACAGGCAAATGTTAAGATTCGCCAAGTCCTCATAAGGAGTTTGTGTCATCTTGAATCAGGAAACGAAACAACAAAAATGGTGTAAAAACCCTTTTTATATATATTTTCTAATGTAAGTTCCTCTTCTGACCACCTTCCAAAATGTTTACCATCCTTTGGGATTTGTATTTTTTCTTTTTTTTTAAATTTTTGTCTTGGTATCGAAGAAAAAAAAGTGTGAATAAAGGTTTCTTCTGCGTTAATTCAGGACATTCTTTACTGAGGATGTGACTTTGTTCTCCTTCGGCTACCAGGGATCCTCCAGGTCTCCACCACTCTGAGGAACGAGAGAAAGAAGACATTTTGAATCAGAGAGACCAACGGCAGAACTGCTCTGCAGCCACACTGAGCTACAAGAGTGGGCCGACTCAACACTTGTGACAGCGGAAAGAGCTTAGGGTTTTTTTCTTGAAGCATAACCACGAACTCCCTGCTAATGTTCAATACGACCAAAAAACAGTTCTTTTCAGTGATGAAACTGAAACTCTTAATACATTTGAAAAAGAATGTTTTCTATTAATATTAGTTGGTCGGCCCTTTATCCATTACTGACTTTGGAGTACTGTATTATTCACAATATACTGTGCAGTCCAATATTATTAGAAGTGAAAGAAGATCATGTACAGTACTTAAATACGTCTGAAAGATTTAAAAGTATCTCTCTAAAATTACAAAATGAAATAGCTTTTATAAACAGAAATGACAAATTTAAAAGTGCTCTACTGTGAAACATTTTTCATGGGAATTGTAATTGTCACACATTAAAAGCACATGGTTTAAATACTATGGGAATGTCTAATTAGGTTTGTTCCAGTTTGACCACACATTCAAACTGACACATAAAAAACACAGCTGTACACTTTCACTTTTGAAACAGCAGAAAAATACAGTTAACTACTAACTCACAACAGAAATAAAAATATCTAGAAAAAAAGATGAAGCAATCTACACACAGACACCTCTTGGAGACAATGGCAGATTGAAAGTCTTTGATAATCTTGCATCAGAAAATACAGCAGTCTAAAGTGCTCATCTGCTCTACCTACCTTCAGAACGAAGCTGCACAAAGTGTTAAATTAAATCATGAAGCTTTTAATTAGACATTAGTATCTTAGTATTTAAACCATGCACTTTTAATGTGTGACATTTACAAATACAATGCATAAGGGCACAAAAACATCATTGAACCTGAAAAAATATAGTCATATAGTAAACCCACTTTACAACTGGCTAGATGCATATGACCAGATAGGCAGATCAGTTAAGGTATCAAAGCTGTTACATTTGCCTTTTTACATGCAACAAAGCACACAAAAATCTCAGGGATGTACACAGAAGCTGTTATTCTGTTTACCTCAACCACTAAAAGAATATACATAACATGCGTACAAAAAGCACCAAATCAGTGCATTTATGATCATTACATTTATACAAGAATAGATGGCGAAGTCAGCAGGTTGACACAGAAAACAAATTACACCATTTACTCTGTCTTCACTGTCGTGAAATACTGGCAAAAAACACTTTTCTGTCACTTTATATTTCAGACAGAAGGAGGACAACAAAACAGGTTCAAAATTTTATAGTCATCTTTATTTGTATTTTGTTTAAAAAATGACACAGGCAGCATAAAATAAAAGGCAAAAACATAGTAACATTTTCTGAGGGTCTAAGCTGAAAAAGCTGCTTGGAAGATTTAGGGTAGAATCCCATGAAAATCGTTTAAAAAATGCATACTGGCAAAAGCAGTCCAAAGCTCCACTGTAAATCCAACATGTTTCATTAACAGAGGTAATTCAGCACCAAAAGAGAACAGAAGTGTAGCCAGAGAAGAAAGCCCTGCGTTTGCGTCAACAGGAATGATACTGTTTTATTAACATTAGTGGAACATGTTACTGATGACATACAGAAGATCCTGCTTTGGTTGCAGCTTGTATCACTTCATCTCTCTGCCTCTATAAGAAAAGATAGGGTTCATCGCAAAACTTCTTTATACTCCCACACATTCAAAGAAATAAACAGGAGTAGGTATTAATGTCTCCATCTTCTAAACCAACTTTCGACCTCTCACTAGCAATGGATTCTGCTACTTACTGCCCAGTGACTGTTTCCAACTGCATCATTCCCCAAATTTCAACGCTTTAGTCTTCACCCATCACCCTGCTCCCCTTGCTTCACTCCCCACATCCAATGTTGAGCCAGGAGGTTAATAACAGGTTACTGTAAGGGCCTTGTCGTATTTGTCTTTAAGTAAAAACTGCTGATCTAATTGTGCACCCCTGTTGACAGAAGAGGCTATCCGACCCCCACGGATGAGGTAATGGCAGCAGCTGCGTCTCCACAGCGGTGCTGTACGGACACGGTTAGTGCCAGCTCCTTGCCCGCATGTGAACTAGCAACATGCCTTTTAATACAAGTGCCCACAAGGTTCTACAAGAGAGGAAGCCATTTGCGTTATCTTGCTCATTCCATTTCAAACATTTTTAATATGTAAAGTCTTAAACATTTCATATATTTCACATCAAATGGCAGCTGCAGTGAACTACTGCCGAGGCTAATTTAAAATTATGAGCCCATTTTTCTATGACATTCACAAGTCAGACTCTGGTTAACATATTATACATGCAGGTACTTATGCTTACCCATTAGCACAACCATTATGCATTGGAATCAACTCTTACAATAAAGAATTTTAAGAAGGTTGAAATCTGCATCATCACAGAGACTGCTCCTGTCTGATAAGACCCAAAAGCCACAGGATGCAGCCCAGCTCTGTCACCTCAGTAACCAGCATTCACAACTTCTTTCTCAATGGGATATGACCTGTCTGAACAATATCACATTTTAAACTCTCTCCCACTCTCTAGACTATAAATTAGCACAGAAAGAAGGCATGCATTGTCATTTTATATAATTGAATTAATCAAACATTTTCGGGTAGGCTACCTTGAACTTATGCTGACTTAAAACAAACCTCTGGAAATGTTACAGTATACTTTGAACTTCAGTGTGCTTCACGGATAGAGAGGGATATTCTATTCTGGTGTCCTGCAGCTTTGACAACATACATCACCTCAAACAGACAGTTGTAACGGGGTGATTATGAACTGTGAGGCTCTCGGAAACAGGGGAATGAAACGAACACAAGGTATTTCTCAATTAAAGAAAGGTTTTATTCTGCACATTTGGTTTCAGACACAGATGTGAGTGGATTCCAAAGGACAGGCGCACCAGGGAGAGACTGTGGGCAGAGTGACAGAGGACACTCCAAACCATGATAAATGTCACTAGCACCTGTTCCTAATCATGCATTCATTCCCACAGACAGGGTAACAGCAGACAGACACACAGGCAGGGAGGTTCCAACTGCTACAGACATTAATGGATGTTATTTTCTGTTGCTACAGCAACAAGACAACAATAACACAAAATGCACAACACACATGCATGACATGCCAAAAGCATGCCTAGCAGGGCTAAAATCTCTAACATACTGAAGACCACTTAAAAGGTCTAGGACTTTCTGAGCAGTCATGAAGTAAACCCAAGTTCACAATCCATGCCTTTTTATTTAAGAAAAAGACTTACACTATGTGCCTTTAACAGAAGTTATGCATAAACCAATCCAGTGTATACATTAGCTCTTCTGTTGTGAAACATGTTAACATTGAGTAACAGTCTTAAAATATTAAAAATTGGCTCATTCTAGTTTCCTTTCCTTAAGGCTATAGAGTGTACATTCTATTGGTGAAATCTACAAAGTAGCAAAATGAAAGTGAAATTCAGTTCAAGACAATCAGAAGTCTGTCCTTGTTACCTTCCAAATATAGGTTTCTACTACAAAGAGTCACACTATCCACTTCAACGTACAACACCACTACTTATACACTGCCATACAATTATGCTTATCTGTACTGACACCAGCTAGTCTTCCACTTTTTGGTTAAGGTTAGAAAATAACTCTGAGCAGGTCATGACACTCAAACATGAGGTGAACACAATCGGGGTTTTTCTGGCGGACTAAGACCCTAACCCTGCTTTCCCCGCAGCCAGGGAAATACTAGCTGGATGGCAAGTACTTCATATTTCCCCACTTCAAGAAAAGGAAAAGTAGAGACACCGACCCATCCGCTCAGCTGAGGTATCCTAGCATTAGACGGGACTGTTGAATTTGCCATGCTCTGAAGAAGCAGAATCTAATTAAACAATTCAAACAAAATCCTGTACTCTAGCTGGGTCACAAGGGAGTGTTTTAGTCCAGAAGTCCAGACTAGAGGCCCAGAGGTGGGCAGTGGGGGGGTCACGGATTGGCCATGTCTTTGTGGTGAGCCTGGGGGTCCTCCTCGGGGGCTGGCGCTTCGCTCGGGCGTCTCTCTGCGTCCTCGGGCGCCCCAGCTGGCGAGGGTGGCGGAGAGGAAGGGAGCTCAGCTTGAGAGGAGGGCTCAGCGCCTGGCTCTTTAGCCAGCCTGAAAGTGGACAGCACCTCCTCCAGGGTGTGGCGGCAGTCACCCCTGTGATTAATACGGAACTGCCGGAGAGCCTCCAGCATCTTGGCCGTGGTCCCGCCCTCCGCAGCTCCAGGGAAGTCCTTGTCAAGATGCAAGACCCCAGTATCAGTAGGCAGGCTAGACTTGCGAAGCGCTCAAGACTAGAGGGGTTCCAACAACAATGAAACAGCCATTCACATATGTCCAAGGAAAACCATTTTTTGAGGGAGGTGTTCTAGCAAGAATGGAGCAACCCTCACAAATTCATAAAGTTACAAATTGCAGGAAAACCCTTACAAGATGTTGGTCAAAAGCCAGTGCCGAGATTAGGTTATGGAATAAAAATACCTATGTCCTAGCATGTTCAGAACTAAGACAATAGCACGGGCTACTCCACTCTCACAGGAACACCCTAACACACACACAATAAATCTAGAACCATATGGCTGAAGAACAACTGAAGCAAAAAGACAGTTGTGCTTTCCTTTGAAGTGAACCATAACCCTCCATCTGCCTTTGAACTCGCTGCACACCTGTGCTGCAAAATAAAGCACTGCATCTCATCACCACCAATTGCAGCATGTGCTAAAGCTGCTTAAAGCAGCTATTAACACAAATCTTTTTAATAAACGGGGGGGAAAGTGCTATTCATAGATCAACAACCCCTACAAAAAAAAAAAACATCAAAAGATCTCCAAACATCTCAGCAGAGTTTATTTGTAAGTCTTATTCTTCAAACTGAAAACATAGGGCTACTAATGCTCACATAGTTTCTCCTCTCCAAGTTGTTGACATTGCTTGTTTTTGGCCATCAAGAGTACTGCACATGCTCAACTGCCTGCTTCCTCACTCCTACCCAGGAATAGTTAACTCTGCCCTGTTCTTACTGTGCAAAGAAGACCAACATTGAGCCTGTTGTCATTAGTTCCCCTTGGTGCTGCAGCACATGAACTCCAGTTCTACCTGACAAAACTGGTGACACTTACTATTCATTCCCAGTTTAGAAGGTACCAGATACTACCTACTAGGGACCTAAATGTCTCTCACTACTACCCTCATTGCTTGAATGGAAAATGACAATGTCACCATCAAGAGCTTCACAGGTAAAAGAAATTAGAGCCCTCCAACACCCAGAAAATCATAACCACTGCTCACTTAGACCAACACTGAGCAATGTCTTCTACACTTATGGTACAGTATGTCCAAAAGTGTCCTACAAAAACTAAAGTTAAATTAAGTAAAACGTTGAACTATTTTAAAATAAAAAAGGTATAGATAAGTTTCTTACCTTTTCCTTCCTTATTTTATACACCTTATTTTCCAATGAAAGAATGGACTATGAAGTCTACAACTAAGGTACTATGGAAATTAAAAGTTAGAAATGATAAGTCCGTATTCGGAGCAACTTCATATCCTAATATCTATTTTATTTATTATAAAATCAGAAAAGGACTTTATTTGACTGCACCAACAGATCCAAGACCTTATGTTCGTATTAAATGTACCATTCAGCAATTTTTCCTTCACTCAGAAGAGAACTAAAACTGCTCCCATCTTCAGCATAGAAAAACCAAGCTTGTGAAACAAGCTGTTACTGTACAATCAAAACCTACATTCAGAAGATAAACAACACGCTCATTTTGTCAGGAAAACAAATGGAATTTTTACACAAATATGCGTTGTCTGAAAAAGAGCAAGTAACCATTAAATACAATAAGAGAGGCACATTGAATGTATGCACACACTTACCAAATTACACAGGAAGGCTGCAGTAATAAGGAAGCCAAACACGTGATTAGCCAAGTGGTGTGCCAGGAACCTATGGGTATCTGCTTTAGAGCGGTACCACTATTAAGCATGCCTCTGGTTAACAGTAAACATGTTCTCAAAGAAACCCCAAGATATCAAAGCATAGAGACATGTTTTGCTGATGCATCAGGAGATAACTACTTCTTTACCAGTCCGCCCATTTTTCATCTGGTCCAGTCATCTGTGCAGAGAGTAATAAACCCCAGCGGTTCAAAGCTTCACATATTCAGATGTACATTACCTTTAAACTGTATGAGGGTCACCTACACTTTCATAGATCCATTTCACAAAATAGAGTCATATCAAGGAGTCTTTTGGATCATTATGACGACACTGGGCAGATTGGAAGAAACCCAAGGGCTATACAGAACAATCAAGATTTTTTTGCACTGCCCACTTATAAGGCAATGCAACATCAAGATCAAGGCTCCTGGGTTTTGGAACTGCTGAAACTGTACCATGCTTCAACACCAGAAGGAAGATTAGACACCAGCACACAGATATATATATCCCCTTGGACCAAGTACTTGCCACTTCATACAAACTGTCATCCACAACAGCAGGCTCCGGACATCCAGTACTACTCAATAAACCCATAACTTAACTAAAACAGGAAACACATTTGATCAAGACAGTCAAGAGTTTAGATAGCTAGATAATACTTTATTAATCCCGTAGGGAAATTGATGATTGATGAGTTTGTGTCTTAAAACCCTTTTTTATGACTTTCAATTGGAGTGTTCTTACAAATAAGACAAAAGGCGAGCGAGAGGAGAGGAGAAATTCAGCCGAAATCAAAGAACGCCACTCATTTCTACAAGATGTAACGTATTGTGGTCCCTGATACCTATGGACACTGAAATCCCCACTGTCAAACAACAACCCAATCGTGTCCTCATTCCAAAAAGCAGGTCATCTTTCTAATTCCCCGTACTTGCATTGGTCCATAGATTCACTCCACAATACATTGTAAAATATACAACAGGGTTCCCAAAGCAGACTAGTACACACTGCAGCCACTGTGGGCTTCAATGATTCAGCCCCAGCTTGTATTGCACATTACCGTGTTGTATATTCTTTCATATATATAGTTCATATACATGAGTCACTCCAGGTATTCTTACTTTTGTTAAGCATTTAAGGTTTTGAAAATATTTTTTGACTCAAAAATGCTCAATAAAGTTATACAAAGAAAACTAAAGTGCAAAACATACATTAAAAAAAATCTTCGTGACAGTGTGTGTCAAATGCTGAAATACACCCACTCTTTGCAGCTGGATGTACTGAAAAAGTTGTCTTTGCATAAAGGAGTGTCTCATAAACTGCAAGGGATTTTGTAGGACTGCACTGACCCTAAAATAAAGGAGCTGCAAGCATACATGGGAATTCAGTTCAGAGGAATTGTCACAAAACCCCCCACTCACCCCGTCCTCCTCCCGATGGGGATTCAGCCTGTTGTACACTGCTTCAATCACACTGCGCCTGCAAACGAGACAACCAGCACCGCGTTAGGAATCCAGACATTATAAGTCCGTGATGGTCACTAAAATGGTTCTACCTGCAAAACTAAGAATGTTTTTTTAAATTAAATTAAGATGTTATTAAAGCAATAACATTGGAAGCATACTACAACATGAAAAGGCAGTATTCCAGCCTAAAACTGCTTCAAACCTTGAGCCTGGTTTCCTTCAGTGTATTTGTCTCAAATGGTACAAGTGAAATCACACACAAGGATTTGAAAATGAAATCTCAAAAGCCCTTATCATACCATTGTGTGGACTACTGCGTTATAACAAAAATGCTGAACCTATCTAGAATCTACGTTCCTGGTAACACACACAAACCCTCCCAGTGCTAAATATCAGAAATCTCTCTGGATGCAGTAGATCAAAACCCAACCGTCTGAACAGTGAATAAAATAGATTACTGATAGATTTGGAAAATTATAAGCAGTTTCTTTGGTGTGAGTGCATTAGCTTACAGCTGTTGAACTTTATTTAAATTTACTCCACTGTACCATCCAACCTGTGTGACTCAGAGTGTCAGCTAGGTCTTGGGCTGTCAAAAAACAAATTGCATTCAGTACTGCTCACTCTCACACTAAACCTTTCAAATACACACAGGAACCTGTCAGTACACACTGCTGCACAGTTTAGACAACAGCATATGTAATCCATTTAACAGAAGATTAAAGGAGACTAGTTTGTAATAAATGCTATTATTTCTCACTACCCGGGAAGTTGTTTGTCTGAGGGTTTCATAACCTTTCCGCTCAATTTATCATGAATACAACTAAGAACATGCTGTTCTCTACACTTGATGACAGAGTGGAGAGCTGTAGCCAAAGGTTTTGCATTATGCTTGTTAATGTTAGAGTGAAGCATACATTCTGGCCATGATCATAGTGGTGAAAACCTGCTGGACCTCTGGGTTAGACTGGTGCCAACACTAGTATAGGCAGGCTGTGTAAAGAGCACTTAAAGAAAGGAAAAAAGCAAACATTAAGAACAGAAGATATTGCATGGAATTACTGAACCAAATTTATTAACTCCTCAATATCAACCAGGTCTCTTTGCTACCAGGTATAATGCCTCTGTAACAGTACTATGCCTGAGCCTAAATCACTCAGTTGCAAAACTAGGATTCTGGGTTTGAATTATTTTCTATTGCTACGAACAGAACATACAGAGTGTTCAAAAAAAGATTTGTCTTTAGAAATTAAGCTGCTCCCCAGTGAATTTGTTTTCTTTTATGAAAATGTGTCACTAATTTACAGTCCACATAAAAGAAATGGAGCAGAGCAGACAGTGTGGAGGATCTGTGAGCGAGGTGACCTTCATTCTACAAGTCCAATGCAGATGGGACACATGAATGAGTCTATTCGCTGATCAGTCACCAAGAAGACGTCCGTACAGTGAGATTCTTGGGAAAGAAAAGGGCTCATTACAACTCAGCTAATATAAGAGCTGACAGGGTAATTCCATATCCAGACATTCAACGTGATTAAAAGCAGCCAAATATTAAATTATTATTAGTTGAGGTGCTATGTATTTGGAACATGACTGGCAGTATTCCAACATGAAAGAAATAATCAATTAGCTTAATATTCCATATCAGACAGTTTATGTGAATACTCATTTGAGAATATGTGCTATCTCTTAAATGCTCACATTTATTATTTTCATGTGGATTCCTCTAGTTGACATTTTGGCTTCAGAAAGCCAGTGAAGCCAGGGAAGCAGGTATGCAGTTTGGTCTGAAAACGAGCCTGCCTAGGTTTAAATAAATATAAAACATCAGGCCTTAATATTCTAAAGGGCTAAAATGGCCTTTTCTGAAGATGCTAGTGCTATGACTACTGCCAAATGGGTATTTTAAGGTCTTTAACATTTTTCAAAACATAATAGAAAACTAATTCTGGTGTGCTAAACTGCAGTTAACTTTCAACATTTCATGTACTTTAGACACTGATGTTGTTTTATCTAAAATTCCACAACAGCCTGTTAAGAGAGAAAATTCACTGGCAGATACGCAGCATGTATGTCTGAAAAAACATACAGGTAGTGCACAAGAAATGGAAGCACTAGCGCAGATAGATATGGATGTGGTCTGTATGCACAAAACGTACCGGGTGTTTAAAACTATGCCAGAGGGATGTCAATCAACTCACACCAGATTGATGGAAGTGGAAAATCTAAGGCGCAGTTCCAAAGCATCCAGTAAATGCTCAACTTGTGTCAGATATGATGACTGATATGATAAATGGGTAATGCTGATCAAACCACCAAGCAACCAGACATCCATGAATAATGGCACTGTCAACCTGGAAGACACCCCTTCCAGCAGAAAAAAAAAAGTTACAACATTGAGTTAAGATCACTCAGTCCAATTCAGTAGTAACTAGCATGGCCTTTTGCCTTCTAACGGAATGAGAGCACCCAACCATGCCAGAGAACTGCACCACACAGACGTTCATAACCACTAGAACCCTTCACTGCTACAACACAGTGAATGACGATTCATCAGACCACACCATATTTCTCCACTGCTCAGTAGACTATTGCATGCGCTCTTTGCACCACTGGACTCCCAGACATGCATTGCTGGTGTAATGAGTGCACTGTGCAATGCAATCCAACTATAGAATCATGCTCTGTGGAGTTCTCAGTAAACTGCTTGCGCCCCAGGGTCGAAATTTGCAGTCAAATGCAGCTGCTTCTATGTTTTGCCATACATCTGAATTTATGGACAAACATCACTATCTTGTGCACTGTCGTGTGTACTTCCTCCCACTGCTGCTCTTTGCCGAAGAGTTCAATGCTGACATCACTTGGAAACTGCTGCTCATGAAGCATCAGCAGGTTGAGCCGTCTTGGTCACTGAAGCTATTGCCAAAATACCCCAACAATCCCCCCCCCCCCCCCCTCTTTCAAAGTCCCCAAGATCTCCTGTTGCAGTCACGCTAGCCTAATTTTCGTGATTCTGATTTGCACAAATTTTTACGGTTAAATATATGCAAGTGGGAACTACTTACAGCAATATAGTTGCAATAATATATATAATATACAACAATAATATACATCCACTATTAAATCCTTGAGTTTGTATTATTTCTACATTTAATTATTTTCCTTTGTTTTATTGCAGAACAAAGTGTGTCATTATATTACAAGTTGTGTTTCAATGAGCTAAGCCGATTGAAGTATGAAAAGCTAAATGTGTGAATGACTCGAAGAAAAGGGAAGCCAAAGGGTTCTCAGGTGTGAGGGAATGGAGGTTCATACTTGCTGGCCAGGCCTCCTCCAGGGGGCAGGTTGGGGATGTTTTCAGTCGACAAGTTGCGCATCACATGGACCAAATCAGGAGCACCTTCCTCACCAGACGTCTCCATGATCTCTGCAAGAGGACCGACACACAGACAAAAAAAATCAAAACAACATGTTACCACTTTGTGTAAAAGCACTGGATGTAAACAAGAAATGGACGCATGTTCCAGCTGAACATACATATGATACAAAGACAATACAAAAAATAAAACTGCTAATAATTCCAGTCTGCATGAGATCAAGTGCCAGGCAACTCAGACAAGAGTCTTACAACACCAAAAGGAAGATAAAACAAGGTATATGCATCAATTGAACTGCTCATACTTCATAAGTGAGCAAAATATTTGAACATACAGTTCACTGCATATTTATATTTAAGAATATCAAAAAACAAAAAAATAACCTTGTGATACTTTCAATAATCTTTAGACAATTATAAATTCATATGCAATATGGTTCACTATTTTAGTTCAACTTTTGGCTGAAGTCTTTCCTCAGCTGAAACAGGACACAGCAACCCCTGGCTGTGCAGAGAGTGAGAAGGCCTGTCTCGTCTGGGTGTGTTCTACATTACAGGCCTAAGAGACTCACTGGAGAGCTCCAGCAGCAGTTTCCAAATGCTGGATTTTTCTTCAAGGCCAGTCCCAGGGAGACCAGTATATGCAGAAGGCCTAGTGAGGAGTGACCTGCTTTTCAGACACTGAGGAACACATATGAGAACAGGAAGAACGGAGCAAGTTTTAAAGCAGAGAATATCACACTCGCTGCACACAGACAGCCACACTGTGCTGAAGAGGAGAATAAAACACTCCTATGAGCACCAACTGTGCAATATAGGAAACAGAAAGTCACCTATCCACACACAAAGATCACACTATGGAAACCAACATTACCACACTGATTTTAACATTTTTTTTATTTATTTCTTTAAGCAGAAAAAAACAATTTTGATAACAGTAAGTTTTATTTCCACAGGTTTATTGAAAACCTAGGCTTTTTTCAACAAGACATCAAAAGAAGAAGGAACAAGTACATGTGACTCCATGTTGAAAAGCAGAAAAAATGTTTGCTGTGGAGTCTTCTTGTAGTGTGAGGAAAAACAGTCCTCATCAACGTGTTTTAATTCCTCCTGCAAAGAATCTAACCCTCATATGTTCTTTTGCAGCTCACACACCAACAGAGTCCCCACTCAAAGCTCTCCAAAAGAAGATAATTCTTAAGACTCAAAAAAGCAGTTCATGTACTTAAAGGTGGTGCAAAGTAAACTATTAAACAACTGCTAGGAAATAAGTGATCATTAGCAAGTAATCTTTTCAATATGTAAATTGTATAAAAGAAAGCAGCAAAAACCACCTTTGAGTTTGAAAGCAGTTAATTGTGTCTGACAGCTGCAGTAATCCAGGTGCAAATCATGAACCTGCCTGCAGGAGGCAAGGCAGACGGGAGGGAAGGTACTGTAGGGCAGCAGGGAAGGCCAGACAGAGGGCATACTGCCTGGAGAAGTGGGGGTGTGACTACAGGTAGACAAATGAGAAAAGAAGGCTGCACTGACTATCAGCAACCAAAGAACCAGCTTCCAACTGCCCTCAAATAGAGAAAAAACAGACTCTTCTGGCTATCAAGAAAATGGATTCTTTCAATAAATAGGGGATAGAAAAGATCAGACAAACATGGAAAGGAAAAAGAGATGCTGTGGTGGGGGGTGGGGGTACCATAGCCATCACCTGGCCATAGCCAAAGAGAGCAGAAGACAAAAGACAAAGAGAGGAGACAGAAGGAGAATAAACTAGTTATAGAACTGGGCCGGCTATAAGAACTGCAGGGAGGAGAACAGGCTGTTCAGCTCTGACTCACACTGGCATCACAGCATCTTGCAGCTCCCAGAGCACAACCCGTTACCCAGCAACAACCAGTCTCATCACATCCTAGTTTCTCCATTCTGCTTCCTTCACATCCTTCTCCCCTGCAGCCATCTCATTCACAGGACTCATCCCGAGCTCAGGACTTGCAATGAAGCCCATCAGATCTGAATGAAGGCTCAGCTCCTGAATTCAGAGCTACCCACAGGCTCAGTGCAAGACCCATACAGCATATAGCTTAATAAATTACCTTGGTAAAAAAATATGGTAGCATCTTTTTTAATTCGAGTCCTGTTGTGCCACTGTTCCAAGTTCTGCTCAAGACCATTTTTAATCTCTGTACACTAGCCACTGCCGATGTAATGACATCCATGCAAATAAAATCAAATTCTATTTTGTAACACCCAAGGAGACTGTCACAATGGACAGTCTTGGAATAATACACTAAATAATAAAGAAATGCATCAGTATTAACTGAGACCAACAATTCCTTCATTTTCTCCAACATAAATACTTGAAATTTATGTGAAATTTTAAAAGCATGCTCTTTGCCTGCTTTTAATCCCTTTCCTTAAGGCAAACAATCAAAAATGTTTATGGACCAGTGCATTTTCACTAAATTCTTATCACAGCATAATCACTGCTACAAGGGTGCACAATTTCAAAGAAAAGCGCTTCAGCGTGAGCTGATGCAATTATAGCCCTGTGCAAAAGCCTAGACAGTGCGTGTCTTCACTGAACCAAAATACATAATTTCTGAGGTAGCACTTTCCTTTAAAAAGCAGTTACGAAAACCAGTTCTGGTACAAAAAATTGGTTGCACGCATTTTGTTTAAATACATGGTAAATTAAATTATACGGCCGATTTGTTTACTGGAATCCAATGGAAAACAAAAGTATTTTAAATGAAATTTGAGAATTAAATAAAACGATGCGTACATACACTTTATTTTGTTAACTGTTAAAAGCTAGGGCAACAGTAAGGTATGGTAATTACAGAAGTATTACTAAGTTTTTGTTGGTGTAATAAGGAAAGTCAACTTAAAAAGCAGTTTTCTGTCGATGACCCCAGTACAGACATCTCACTCTGGAGTATCTTTTTCCTGCACTATATTTCTGTATCCCAGTGATGATAATATCCAAAACATCTTAGCAGAGATGACCTCATGCTCCTTTTGTCACCATGCCTTCATGAAACCAACGTCTGTATGTAGTTCTTCTCACATGTTGGGTCTTGCTAAAAAAAATGACTGTTTTGTTATTATTACAAATATTAATCCTGATTAATATGTAAGCATTAAATCTTGAGAGTTAAATATGCACCTAGGGGCTCTGGCTGTCTTGAAGACACCTGCGCGTCCCGAAGCATCACCTCAGTTGGCCTGTTGTGCAGTGTGAGGAGAGTTCTCGAGTGTTTTGGCAAGCAGTGTGACCATGGCTGACCATGAGGCTACTCCGTGCGGTGCAGCAGATAACTTGTGAGCCCAGGGTCAGAGAGCATCTGGTGTCCCTTCAGTGAGTGATGACAGGGAGGAGCTTTTGACATGCCAGCAGTATGAGCCTCATTCCATAAGCACAGGGAAGGCAGAACTAACTGACCTCATTGTGTACATTTTATGCTACGAGCGACAGAACCAACATCATCAGAACTATTAGCCTATCTTATTGTTTTTATGGTTTCAACTTTTAGAATCACATATTACTGTTTTGCCCACCTTTTGGACATGCTAATGGAGCTCATTGTTTACATTAGTCTCAGAGCACAGTTACAAACCTTGCAACTGCACACTGGAAAGAACAAAGAAGTGTAGGCAGACTCCTCTGTTCCATCAATCTGCAAGCCAACTGTGTTTTGAATACGTCACAGGCTACACAGCCCCATGCAGGAGATTCAGTTGTGAGTGACGGAGGCGCACATCCTTCGCAAGAGCAATGCAACCTTGTAAGTTCCCAAGGAGGTTAAAGTGAGCCAAGAGAGCCCTGCACACTAATTGCAACCATTCGTTTGATGATGCTCAGCCAACTGTTTTGCACACCTTGGGGAATCCCGGTCACAGCCAGATAGTGACCAGGCTCGAACCCATAACTCCTCTATCAAAGAGTTCAACTTGTGTTCTGGAGAGAACCTTGACTGGTTCATGCAAAGTCAGGCTAATATAAAATAAACACAATACTTTTTTCAATAAGCATTCATTAATTCCTCATGCAGTCTTCCAAGCCTTATTGTATACCTTAATAGCATACTACAGCATACTATGATGCTAATGCATTTTTATGGTGCTTAAGAAAACCTAAATGCATTACAGTTGAAGCAACAGAGTATAAATTCTCATTTTTCTTTAAATTATTTCCACACAACCTTAAGATTTACTATATGGAAAGCACTATCTGAGGATTGACTTGTCTCATTCCCCCTGTACACAGCAATAAGCAGCCTTATGTTAGTGCTGCAGACTCTGAGCCAAGTCTCAAAAGTGAAACCAGAGATGTAAACAAGAACAAAAAAGTCAAACAAAAACAAGCCCGCTTCTCAATTCCAAGGCCTACGAAACAAGCTCTGACCTCTCTTGCTGACTCAAACAAGCAGCCGTTTGTTTGAACAACATCTTGACCCCCCTCGCAAGCTTTGTGGGACTTTCTTGTGAATTAAAAACTAAAGTGCAGATCAGCAGTGTGCTCAGAGGGGGTTCCTTGGGCAGTGCCCTGCAGGCTAAGTCAATGCCAGGGCTGCTGCCCAGTGTGGGCTGGGGAGGAAGCCCAGGAACACAGGCTGAGGTTGCAGGCAGGCAGCCAGCTCGATGTTCAGCCAAAACATTTTTAACCAAAGCAGGAGACATAGCTCTTTCTGGTATTTTCAGTGTTCAGGCTACTTTATTCCACAGCTCTCATCCAACTCAAAAGAAGAGTTTACATAACCCCAGACTTTTTAATTTTTTTAATTCTTGCCTAAAACTTTAAATGGCACAGAAAAAACGCATATTGTAAGAAAACAATTTTAAAAGTACTATAGGAAACAAATGGAATCGAAGTCACAACAACCACCAAATCAATTCTTGCCATTCATATGCTTAGTTTTTAAGAAAAATAAAAACATTCAGGTAAGCATTAATACATATATTCATCTCTTCATTTATAACATCTTACTAACATGGTCTGAAAGGTCTCATCAAGTGAAAAGAATCTGGCTTTATGAACAGATTTCAAAATAGTTTTTGATCAGTGATGCTCTATCAACAAATACTACCATGAAAACATGGTAGGAAATTAATTTAACAGAGAAAATACTGAGTGGGTATACACCAGTGTTCAATGTGAATGATGTGGGTTATAACACAGATTGCCTGGTGTCTTTGAAAAATAGAGAAACCTCTGTTTTTAGTACAGTATATGTATTTTTAATAGCAGCACAGACATGTTCCACTGTCTTAAAAACAAGAGGCGTCAGAGAAAAGAAAGCAGTCTGTTTTTAATTGCCTTTCCTCTGCTTTATACCATGCAGATGCTTTTGCTATGAGTACACCCAACCAAAATTTCCTTTGCATTGTCATTTATCATTTGATGTGGCTGTAGACTCAGTTACGTTACAGTTCAGTTATTTATATAGTCAGCAGAGCTTCAAACCTTTCAGTGACATTTCTAGAATGAGACTCTACCACATGGTTAACCTTATACTCAACATTACACTCCCATAAAGGTTAAGCCTACTATTTACTGAAAAAAAACAGTAAGTTAATCATGTCATCCCAAAAGACAGTCTGATTATACCTACTTTGGATCACAGCAAGCTTTCACACCTATCCAACATTGTACTTTCCTAATGGAGAAAAATCAAACAATTCACACATTCACATTCCCCTAAAATTACTACAGGTGGGGAAATGACAATCACATATGTTACTTACAGTAGTTCAATGGCTTATGCCATTGTGAGCACAGGCTTAAAGCATTTTGATTTAAGTCAAGCAGTAAAATCATTGCACAGAGAAAAGTGTACACTTGCCTTCAGCTGGATTCGTTTGACAAGTCAAAGACTTTGATCTGTAAATGTCTATATGTGTGGTGAACTGAACACTTCTACCTGTTGCTTTGCTGGTGTAAGAACAAGACAGCAGGTAGACACACTGCCTGTCCAAGCTATTTGCTACAGTGGTTTGTACAATGTTTTGTATTTGCCATAGTGATTTCCAGATGAAGTGACCAGCTCTATTCTTACCTTCCACTCGTGACTCCAAGTACTTGTCCAGCTCAGCATCTTGCTTCACTGCCTCTTCCGACACCTTGGGAGCATTCATGAAACATACTAGCACAACACTCATGTTATCACGACTCCCCTGCAACAGAAAGACAGGACTAATCACACACTGCTCTTTTGCAAAGGAATGAAGCCCACAGAAAACATCCCTCTGAAACACTTTTCCTTAACAGCTGTTCTAATCTTATTACCAGATTGAGAGATATGCGATAATAATCTAGTCACAAAAGAGTTTATAAAGTTACTTGTTTTTATCTTTTTAAAAAGGAATTCTGCATTATTTTATTTCTTCATAAACCCAGAGCTACAAAATGCCTAGCCTTGGCATGAGTCCATACAGTGTGTTAAAAGAAAGCTCCTTGTTTATCTTTGGGAAGAATTCACCATATGCACTAAAATGAAAAGACACAAGTCCCCATCTTTTTTCCACACCACAAGACGTAATACACAAGACATTATAAACACTGGCAGAGAACAGCAGACAGATGAAACACTGCACTTCCCTCTGCTGTAGTTTCAGAATGACATAATTGGGAGACAATATTATTTTACACACTGGAAAACAGGATGTTGAATGTATTGCATGTCCAGTAGTAAATCAGATTTTTGTATTCAGTACTGCATACAGCATTTTTGTACACTGAGATACTTAATGTAAAGGAAAGGGCCTTTTCACACTGTCAGAGCTCTTCACTTTAGAACACTAGACAAATCGCTCTAGACCTGACTGTTACAGAAAATGAACAAGCCAATGAACCCAAACTTCCAGCTTAAATGACCTCTGAATAATGAAGGCTGTGACAAGCACATGCCTACAGGCGCTTTGCAAAGCATGCTTTCTGCCTGCCACAGTTCTAATAATAAACAGTTAGAGAACTGTTTCTGATCTTCACTGCCCGGTCAGAAGTGCCTTCTTTTTAATGAATGCAACAGTACCAAAATGGGTAATACTTAACATAATGAAGGCTGAAAATAAATCTTATGGTCAGAATCTATTTTAATAAACTCACAATTATAATCCACAAGCAGTGCATTGTCATGTTTTGTAGCCCAGGTAAAGTTGTTTAGGATTTCAGGTTTGTTCCCAGGCCTCCTGCTGTACCAGATCTCCTCAGGACAGCAGTGTCAATATACTCACAATGTCAAGGGTGTGGCTGGGCCTGAATGCATCCTGTGCCACAAACAAAGGGTTTAACCCCCTTCTTTATTAACTTAAAGCAAATTTCAAAAAGCCCCAAAGTAAAACTTTGAAAATTATTTAACATGAATAAAAGGTAGTAAATCAAAGGCTTCTGTACAATGAAATTAACCCCATGTTGGGCCACTGCCAAAGCTGACCCCTGAGGAACCTCTGGTTCAACAAAATCAAAACCAACAAAAGCACTTACGGCTCCTAATGGCTACACTGGGAAAGGATATGCTAACTCTGCACACATTCACACTCACACAGTGTGACGTGTTGAAGGATCAATCAAAACAACGCACATTCTGATAGACAGCTAAAGAGGGATTTGGCAAGACTTTATTTCTGATTCAGAAAACTTTTCATAAGAAAATCACTAAATATTATGAAGGGGAACTGGGACAGATGACACAAGATTCCATATTCAACACGCCATCACTGTTAAATCGGCAGGGCAAATGACAGTCACTCTCTGAAACTGAAAATAAATGTTACATTCTTTGTTGAAAGGATTCATTTATAAAGTGGCACCATGCTGCTGTATCAGTGAATCTGTGGTCATGAGAGTCAGGAAAAGTTAATACATTACTTTCCTCAGATTAGCACAGAGTCAGTATCTTATCTCTGTAGGGAATGGACTCAGCAGGAGCTTTACAGCTGGGCTGGATATTAAGAAGCCTTGTGACCTCATCTGGGTAATGCAGAGTCAGCAGGCCAGATTTACCCGGCTTCAATGCATGCTTTCTTATTCCTTTTTGAACTTCCCATAAAAAAGCTAGTTGTTTCAAGTTAAGAAAGGGCAAGACACATATAAATCTGAAACACAATGAGCCAGGCATGTAACATTTGCAAAAAAAGCATTATAATAACTAAAATCAGGAATGGCTGAATCACATTCACCTGAATGTTAAAACGGAACAAACAGAACCATCAGACAAGCAGTCTGATACTGTCAAGACCCTGTGGCCAGTACATAAACGATCACTTACAAGGAAAACAGAACTATTTGCACTGCTTGAAAGCTGAGAAAAGAAAGGAACATTATTTTCATCCAATTTCTACCACAAGGCTTTCTGCACTGCTACAGTTGATTTTTTTTTGTAATTTTTAGTCTTGATTCTTCCAATATTTTCCCATCCTTGATGTACGCTTAATGAGTTTTTAAAAAACACACATACAGATTACCTACAAAAGACTGAGCAGAACAGCTGTTGTGTATAGGCATGACAACCAAGCACGGTGCGATCCCACATACCTTGTGTAGACAGGTGTCCACCACAGAGTTGCACACCTTCTCCAGGTCGTCTGTGACCTCCAGCCGGGACTTGACAAACTCGCAGAGCTCCTCGTTGCTCATGACGTCCCAGATCCCATCGCAGGCTAGCACCACAAACTCATCCTCCTCGGCCCGCGGGATCTCGTACACCTCCGGCTCGGGCGACACCAGCTGCTCCGTGGGGCCCTTGCCGTCCACGCACTTGTAGTCGTAGTCCCCGAGGGCGCGGGAGACGGCCAGCGAGCCGTTCACCCTCTGGATCATCACGCTGCCGCCGGCGTTCTGGATGCGCTCCTTTTCCCGCGGGTTGCAGGGCTTGTGGTCCTGCGTGGAGAAGCAGACCTGGGAGCTGCGGTACAGCACCGCCCGCGAGTCGCCGCAGTTGATGAAGTAGAGGTGCTCCGGGGACGCGAGCACGGCCACCGCCGTGGAGCCGCTGCGGTCCATGCCGTTGCGCAGGTCGGAGAAGTTGCGCATGTACTCGTCGATCTTCAAGAATCCGGCCCGGATCCCGCTCTTCACGCTCTCGACGGTGAGATCCGGGGACGAGCCGGGCTTCTCTGTGCCGCGGAAGTTCTCGTTGCCCGTGATGTGCTCTAGGAGGTGTTTGGAGCAGTAGTTGGCTACTCGGGAGCCAGCGTGCCCGTCGTACACGGCGAAGAAGGACCAGTCCTCCAGGCCATGTGGGATTCCCACCACCGCTGTGTGGGCGTCCTCCATCTCCACGCGCCAGCCCTGCATGCTGCTCAGCCCATAGCGCAGACCGTTGCCTGCACCATGAGCGTTGTGTTTCTCCGTCTTCGGTTTGTCCAGAAATGCACCCATTGCTCAGTGCGCCACCTGGGAAACAAACAGATAAAACATTTATGGCTACAAATAAACTGGTCCCTCTCGACCCCCTTTTAAAAACGTCATAGATCTTGGTTTCCACAAGGGTTTTTGCCTCTTCGTTTATACATCCTTAATAAAACAAAAGCTGCCCTAAAAAACATCACCTCAGGTTCATTTCTTTACATTAAAAACAGGTTTGTATCACCACCCTAAAGCAGTGTATAACAATTTGGAGAACAGGAATGGTCAGAGTTCAAAGAAGGGCAAAAAGATAAGGTGTCACTTTTGTAACCAGGTTCATAAGAAAGCTTCAGCAATAACCCAGATGGTTACATGATAAAAATAGCACAGACAAGCAGTCTGTAATGGTGAAAAAGAATAACCAAAATTAATTTGTTAAACAGAGATCAAAGGACAAGCAGGTTCCACTGCACAAGGCTAAGAAAAAGCTACTCGAATACACCGAAGTTTGATCATACTGAGTCACTGCCTGAAACCATCAAGGCATCTCCCCTGAGCATCCTTAACTGATACATTTGTACAGTAAATGGTCAAAAACAAACGTGTACAGTAAATAGCCAAAAACAGGTGTACAGTAAATTGTTTGCACTCTCCAGATATTCATTCATCTATAACTGCTTGTAGTTCATGATAGCATGTATGTTGAAGTCTGATGTAAATTAGAATGACAGCTGCAATGCATACAGAAAGTAAAAACAATTCAGCCACTTGACTACTGTAAATGAATACCGGTGGCAAAAAGGGCACATGACTAAGTTCATCCACCATGTCAATATGAAAACACCTGCCTTTAATCCTCCATAATCCTCATATTTATGTTAAAAGAGAAATGTATGATTTATGACTCAGATGGAGATAAGCCTTTTTTCCTTAGGTAACAGATCACTACTGAATGCATGCTCCTCTCTAAATGATTACTCATATTGCTGCAGTAACTACAAAGCCATAATAAGCATATTTCTATTGCTGGCTAGATATCACAACTGAAAATTCATAAGTATTGTATTTACGTGAAAGGAGCAGTTTTAAATAATCCAAACAATACTGATGCCAAAAGGGGACGATGGCATATTTGACCATTCCTTCATGCAGAACCTCTCCAGCTTCTCCGGATTCCTGACTTGTGCTAGTGATCAGCTTATACCTTAAATTGTGTACTAGAGGCTCTAACAACATACCCATCATTGCCTGGTCTGTATGGTTTTCTTCCTAAAAACCCCTCGTGTGACCAAGTTTTAGCGTCATGATAGAAGGAACCAGTTTCTAGCCAAAACATCCTAATCAACTTTGTAATTCATCTGTTCCTCAGTTCTAACTAGGATACGGAAACAATGGATGCAAACTGTATCTACTCTTCACAGAATGGATACCATTCCTTTTCAAAATGATCTCTACCTTCATCACTTACATTCCTGATGAAACTACCAAAAACTTCATTTGTGATTTCAAGCACACACCATGCACTCCCTTGTGACCCGGAAATTGATCAGCTGCTGTCTGTTAAATTCATATTTTCTTTGAACATTGCCTTGAAACTCAGTCACAGACCCCAGAGTCACCCAAAGGACACACACCCCAGAGACACACAAAGCTGTCCCAAAGTTCGCACTTTCAAACTGAAGACTACTTATGATTAGGACCTACTGGGCTGAGGTCTGAGTCCATTAAAGAAGGCAATGCAATCTAACACTAACACATTATACAGGCATTTACTGCTAATTCCCTTCTCCCACTAAGTGCCTGACAGAAGATACATCAACTAGTTTGGCAACGGGTGTCCCAAATGAACGTTTAATAGACAGGGCTGACTGTGTGTCTATCTTAACGACCACAAATGACCCAGATAACAGAAATAGAAAATCATTATAGACTCAGCAGGTCTGAAACAGCAGCATCTACCGGGCACTGGAAATCGGAGGGGAACATCACAAGCTGGAAAATCGGTGTCCCTGAGTTTAAGTGAGAAGTCAGGAATGGATTTTTTCAGAACTCTGTAAAACATGCATGTTTGATGTTGCCACAGCAGAAAGTATTTCCATCACTAAGATGGTGATGGTAGCTACATCTCAACCACCTCAAAAGGAGTCAAATGTCTATTATGACATTTATATTATATATAAAGTCTACATAAATAAAAATCTATTCCTAAATATAAGAATATATTTGAGTCTTGCCTCTTGAGTAAAAGGCTGCTTTGATATGAATTAATGAGGAAAATGCCCTATTGTATTTAAAACCAATAATTAACTGTATACTCTGGCGGATGTATCTTGCCTGTACAAACTACCAACAGAGTAACAGCAGTAACCTGAACGTGAAGAAGGTCTCCAGCAAGGTGAAAGACCTTGTAGGCTGGTCCAGTCCCCAGGACAACCCAGGGATCACATGCGCACTACTGCCCTGAAGCAGGCATTTAAAAGAACAGACTGCAAAGGCTTGTTTTTGATTACGAGCCTCTGAGAACAGAGGAAAACAGCTCACAGACGATAATGCAAGGTCTTCGTTCTGTTGCACTTGTCAAGAGGTGAGAGGTGAAAACGTTCTGTGCCGTACTGCAAGTGTGTCATGTATGGCATACATATAAACTGTTCTAAGAAAAGTGTTCAAGGGCTCATGTGTGGTCAAGGGCTGGACATCCAGCCAGCTGTTAAAACATTATCACACCTAAATCACAGAAATCACAACATGCAATATTTAGATGTCATCAATGATATATTTTTTCAATCTCTCTACCTGAAGACAGCTCACTTCCCTTCCTTTAAATATTAAATTTCAAACAGTCCAGGAGTTAACACTAACTTTTATTTTAAGCAAACCAAAACGTTAACTCTCTAAACCATAGACTCATAAGGTTTTCAGTTAAGGCATGAGATAAAAGGTTCAAGTTTCAACAGAAGAGGGAACCGTTTTAACAAGAGCCATTACCAACACTGCAGGATTATTTGTCACAAAGCTCTCAAGCAACAATTTGCAGAGTGTGACTGTGCTGAGCAGCTTGATAGCACACCTGGCATTTATCCATTCGCAGTGGGGCTGTCACCCACTTCACTTGACAAAGGTGTGGGGCAGGAAAGCACTGGCACCTTGTCTGCCCACATATATGAAACAGAAGGGGGAATATCTATCGAGAACTTCCGTAAACTTTTGTTCTGCCCGTGGCAATGACTGAGCACAATCTGAAAAGTCCTTTTTTGTTTCAAAATCTGCAATCAATAGATTTATGCTCACTAAATATAACTTTACATCTAACCACTGTTCTATCAAATGAACTGTGAACAGTCTCATTAAAAAAAACTGAAAGTCAGGATTAACCTAGTGTTCGACAACCTCCGGCAGGGTGTCTGTTATAGTCTAGCCCATCATTTCCCCACTGCTTCTGGAATGTAAACCCAGTATGAGGCAGCTAGGGAAATTCTAAGCTATTTTGAGACCAAGGAAAATACACAAGTCCACACTTCAGGATTTAGAAGTTAACACAAAATAATTCCAACACACCAATCTAGATTATATTTTGATTGTGACGATAACCTTCTTAGGCTATGGCAAAAACAACAAAATTCATGTAGCCTAGCTGGATGAAGCCATCTTTCTGGAAAGTAACTCAGTATAAAGTATGTTATTTGTAAATCAAACTCACACAGTAGACAGAACTCTTGACACACAGCAGCCGGATGTAGAACATGTTAACCTGGTGTAAGATTATTACTGCATCCCACTGCCAAATGAAGCCAAATACCAAATGACATGTAGATAAAGTTTTGAAAAGGCTAAAGATTGGACTTGTTCGTTCAATTACTTTTATAAAAAAAATTCTAAAACTGTAATATTCAAACCTGTATAAATCTTGAACCCCATACCTCACCTCCTCAAGTATATAACTACAGACATCTATACCACACGGGACTATTACCCAGCAGTGGCTTTCCTAATTTAACTATCTCTAAGAACATCTGTCTCACATTTTTCTGTGCTTACCAATCTATAGCCACCCCTGCTGTGTAAAGTTGCCAATCAGAACACCAATTACACAAAAGCTTTTCTGCCATCCTGTGAGTCACTTGCTTAGGTGTTACATCAACGCAGTTTCAGCTCAGCTAACTTAGCTGTACAGTCACAGCCTTGAAAGTAAACTCTCCCGTTTCCTTTAATTCTCCCAAGCTATTGCGAACAATCTCCAGTCTGGGCGACAGGACTGGAAAGCAGCAGCTGGAGCAGCACGGCAGCCTGTGTGGGGCATGTTTGGGCACAGTAGTTTCAAATAAGCCAGGGAGGGACTGACGTACCTACACAAACATCAGTAGTTTTAGAGCAACAAATCTCTTCAAGAAGTGTAAAGTTTAATATTCCTTTCAACACACTGGCTGGTTATTTTGAACCCAAAGCCGATGCAGACAGGGCTACGAAGGCTGGTTTCTTTTTGTGCCTCTGAGGTAACGATTGCTGGGTCGACTGCTGAAGGTGACAGTGTGATGTGCACAGAGCTCAGTGAAGCCTCTCCCTGGAGCCCCAGGCCACCGAAAGGTTTTCCAGTTCTGCAGGAAGATGTCAAGAGTGCACAAGCCCCAGACAAGACTGCAAGGAAGCGTGGGTGTTGCAATACTGGTTTACAATGTCAGCTGTCTCTCATACCCATCATACCCACAGTGTGCAGGAATCAGAATGCAGAACAGTTAAACTAGTTTTGTTAAATTCAAGAAAAATTATAATAAAATACTTTTTCACAATATGTTCTTCATCCAGGAACCCTTTACAGGACTGGTACTGCCATACAAAAAAAAACTGACTCAGACTTTACATTAAACATCTGGACATCATTATTATTAGATTTTGTATTTCAAGACAGCTTCATCAAATCACAGTCATAGTGGCCGTGGAGGCAGCTGCAGGGCCAGCAAAGGTATAATCCAGAACAGACTGAATAGAGAAAACCTTTTTGCTGAATGGTACAATTACACACACTCATTTCAGTATTGATTTCAACAGGTATA